TTTTCAATAATAATTGAATATTGAATAATAATTGAATTCTTGACAAGAATTTTGTTATTTTTGAAAAGGTAACTAAATTCTTTCGAAGTACTTTATTTGAAAGTTTTGAAAATAATTAAATTTATTTGATGAATTTTATAAAAAATGTGAAAATAATTGAATTCCTGCTAATAATTTTGTTTAGAATTGGCTCTAAGTCAAAAATATGTGTAAATTGTAAAAAGAAAGTTTTTTTAAATTTATTAACTATTTTTTTTAGTCCATATTTTTAAAAAATTCAAAAATAATTTTACAATTAAGAAAAAGCTGATGAGAGTTTTTAACCGAATCTATTGTCGACGTCATAGATGTATATAATAAAAATATTCGAACATTAAATTTTTAGTTTTTTTTCAGTTATAAAGAAATACCAACTATTTACTATACTTTAATAAAAAAAAATTTTTAATAAATAATATTTAAGGGGATTTGAACCTTGATGACGTCACAGTTTGTGCAAAGCATTAGTTTTAAATCTGTGACGTCATCATGGTTCAAATGCCCTTAATAGAAATATAACATTAACAAAATTGTACAATAATTGAATTCTTACGAAGAATATTTTGTTATATTTATAAAGATAATTAATTTTTAAAATTAAAAGTTTTGAAAATAATATAATTTTTGCGAAGAATTTTATGACAATTTGGCTTAAATATATGTTTTATTTATGTCAAATAAAATTTTTATTTAAAAGAAATAAAAAGTCTATTTGTTTCTGTGACAAATATAATTATATATTTACTAAACTTAAATAAAATATATTTGGTTTAAATAAAATTTTTCAGTGGAGTTTGTTTGGAAATTTTACTATTTCCCTATAAACTTAATTTATTTTAATTGAATTGAAATTATATATTTTTGTCTCAGAACCAACTATAGACTTTTTCTTTGTTTCAAATAAATTTTATTTGGTTTAAATAATATTTTATTTTGCTCAAATATATGTTTTATTTATGTCGAATAAAATTTTTATTTAAAACAAATAAATAATTTAGTATAGTTTCTGAGACATAAATATTTATTTATCGAAATAAATGAATTTATTAAAAAAAAATTATATTTGCTTCAATAAAATGTTTCTCTGGGGTGTAATTTTTTAAGAAAGAGTATTAGTGACCTAACAGTATTTTTATTATTATTTATTATTTATTTATTCTTAGTGCTCACCTTTTGGGTCTTGTACGAACTTTCGGTTTTTACTTTATTCAAGTCACTAAGTAATTTACATTATTTAATAAAAAAAAAAATAAATCTATATAAATAAAAAGTACAAAAATATGAATTAATATACTTACGAACAAATAATATTTTTAATAATTACGTAAATAGGAAAAACAAGTTTTCCCATTTGTATAGAGAGAATAACAATTAGCAACTGATGACCATCGCAAAGTGGCGTCAGCTTATTTCCTTCATTTTTCATCAATAAAATAATAAAACGTACAAAAGCAATTGGTCACATATTCACCACATAAAAGCCTGGTTCAACTGAAATATAGTCCAATATTTCGATTAGCTGCGCATCGAATGCATCGATACGAGAAAGTTAAACTCCACCATCATTCTGCACTCCTGGCAATTCGAGATGCGCTCTATCTTCCGAATGGCGTTGAATGGGAAAAAAAAATTCAGGAGAATGCCAAGACACAGCTGACCACCAAGAGGAGTCCGCGAAAGCGTCGTCAATATATTGAAAGGGAAGACCGAGACACGTTTCTCTGTCCTTTTGCTGACCTGTAAAAAATGCAATGCCCCCTTGGCACGCCTCTTGGCATAATGGGGCGCCATAAACGAGCGCTGGTGGTGCACCTGTTGGTTATTATTCCGCGTGTTCGTTTAGAAAGAAAAAAAAAATATAAAAAGCTTTTTTTTTTTAATAAAAAAAAGAGAGAGAAAAAAGTCATCATACTGTGGAAGGAAAAAAAAATAAAAGCGTTCCTCATAGCGACGGGTATAATAATGGCGTAGGCGTATAACTATCCTGGGTTGCGAGAGTATATATATATAAACTCGATGTGACACCAATGCGCACAAGCATACACATTATGAACGTTTTATGGATTATTCACAAACACACAGCATCCCAGAGCATTGCCGCGAGGGTCCATGAGATGCGCGCGACCACGCGAAAAATATTCTCGCGGGAAGCAAACGCGCAAAAATGTGATTTTTCGAGGCCATTTCTGTAGTCCTGATGCGTGCGTGGTTGAAGCATTCTTTCGATAAAACATATTTTTATAAGACAATGCGGAAAAATATTATGGAATCGCGATCTGGAATATCTGCTGCATTGAGAAATTTTTGCACCCAGAGAAAAATATTATTTAAACCAAATATATTTTATTTGAGTTAAATAAACGTATATTTGTCTCAGAACCAACTAGACTTTTTATTTGTTTTAAATAAAAATTTTATTCGACATAAATAAAACATATATTAGAGCCAAATAAAATTTTATTTAAACCAAATAAAATTTATTTGAAACAAATAAAATTTATTTGAAACAAATAAAAAGTCTAGTTGGTTCTGAGACAAATATACCATTTCTCTGGGTGTGGATATCAAAACTCATTAAATTTATATTGCTTAATTGAGCGGATAATTATGCGCGCATTTCAGTTTACTTCATTACATATACAGAGAAAAATATTATTTAGACCAAACATATTTTATTTGAGTTAAATAAACGTATAAATTTAGATAAAATTTTATTTAAATCAAATAAAATTTATATGAAACAAATAAAAAGTCTAGTTGCGACTATATGAGTGAAATATATCTTTTTTCCGGGTGCAGAAGTAGAACAAAGATTTAATAGTCAGACATACCGTTCCATTCTGGAATTCTGTAGATTTTTGTGTCGCTTATTTTTAAAGCTATACCAACTAGACTTTTCATTTGTTTCAAATAAATTTTATTTGGTTCAAATAAAATTTTATTTGGTTCAAATAAAATTTTATTTGACTCAAATATATGTTTTATTTTTGTCGAATAAACTTTTTATTTAAAAGAAATAAAAAGTCTATAGTTGGTTCTGAGACAAATATACGTTTATTTAATTCAAATAAAATATATTTGGTTTAAATATAACATTTTTTTCTGGGAATAAATGAATATTCGGCTCAGAAACTTGTAAATTATTTATTTGGTTTAAATAAATATTTTATATGTCACAAATGAAATATTTATTTAAAACAACCTATAAAAAACAAATCATATTTTTAACCAATAATTCGGCATCCAGGAAAAAAATTTTATTCAAACCAAATATATTTTATTTGAGTTAAATAAATGTATATTTGTCTCAGAACAAACTAGACTTTTTATTTTTTTTTTAAATAAAAATTTTATTCGACATATATAAAACTTTTATTTGAACAAAAAAAATGTTATTTAAACCAAATATAAAATTTATTTGAAACAAATAAAAAGTCTAGTTGGCTCTGAGACAAATATAATTTTATTCAATTAAAATAAATTAAGTTTATATAGGGAAATGTATTATGTCCATTAAAATAGTAAAATTTCCAAAGAAATTACACCCATAGAAAAATTTTATTTGAACCAAATATAATTTAATTGAATTAAATAAAAATATTTTTGGTATCGGAATCTACACTCAGAGAAAAATGTTATTTAAACCAAATATATTTTATTTGAGTTAAATAAGCGTATGTTTGTCTCAAAACCAACTAGACTTTTTATTTATATTACATAAAAATGTTATTTGACATAAACAAAACATATGTTTAAGCCAAATAAATTTTTATTTAAATCAAATAAAATTTATTTGAAACAAATAAAAAGTCTAGTTAGTTATGAGCAAAATATACCATTTCTCTTGGTGTACTAAATATTATTTATTTGTTTTAAATAAAAATTTCATTCAACACAATAAATACACCCAGAGAAAAATTTTATTCAAACCAAATATATCTTATTTGAGTTAAATAAACGTAAAAATGTCTCAGAATCAACTAGACTTTATTTTTTTTAAATAAAAATTTTATTCGATATAAATAAAACGTATATTTAAGACAATAAAATTTTATTTAAACGAATTAAAATTCATTTGACACAAATAAAAAGTCTACTTGACTCTGAGTCAAATATATATATTTTTTCTGGGTGCAGAAGTAGAAAAACATTTAATGGTCAGACATAAGGTTTCATTCTGGAATTTTGTAGATTTTTACATATTTCACTTATTTTTATAGCTCACCCAGAGAAAAGATATGTTTCAAATAAATTTTATTTGGTTTAAATAAAATTTTCTTTTTCTCAAACATTTGTTTTATTTATGTTGAATAAAATTTTTATTTAAAAGAAATAAAAAGTCTATATAGTTGGTTCTGAGACAAATATACATTTATTTAACTCAAATAAAATATATTTGGTTTAAATAAAATTTTTTTCTGAGTGTAATATTTGAATCAGAGTCAAATATTAATAATATATTAATATTTATTATTGAATTTCAATAAATTAATTAATTTCTTAAATATAATCAAATTTTTCGTACACCCAGAGAAAAATGTTATATTCAAACCAAATATATTTTATTTCAGTCAAATAAATGTATATTTGTCTCAGAACCAACTAGACTTTTTATTTGTTTTAAATAAAAATTTTATTCGACATAAATAAAATATATATTTGAGCCAAATAAAATTTTATTTAAACATGATAAAATTTATTTGAAATAAATAAATTTGGTTCTGTGTCAAATTTATCTTTTCTCTGGGTGTAATTCTTCTCAGTAATATATATATATATTGCTCATTATTGAACGTTCAAAACTTGTTGGATTGTTTGTTGGATTCTTTTTCAAAAATAATTCAATTTTCAGTCATTTTTCACTGATTTAGTATATTTAAAGAATATCTGAATTTTATGAATTTAATAAATATAATTTTGACAAGTTTATTTAAAAATGTTACAATTATTTTAAATTTCAGGCATTGCATACGAAGATGCCTTGAGAGACGGTGTCATCTTCTGCAGACTAATGAACAAACTTCAACCTGGAATTATTTCAAAAATTAATACTTCCGGTGGAGATTACAAGATGATGGACAATCTCAATCAGTAAGTACATAATTATATCTTATAGAGAAAAAAAGTTGAAATTTCTAAATATTTTAAATACTCCAGTTTTTTTTTAAAAATTTTTTTTACAACCCCTTCCAAGCTTGAAAAATTGATAATGAAAGGGGTATAATATTTATACCCCTTCCAACAATACGTTAATTACTCACACATATGAATTCCTAAGAAAATTCTGAATTTTTGACGACGTTGAAGTCCACAACGTTTATCAACGAAAAAATTTTTTTTTTAAATAGAAGATTTAATTAATATAACAGATATCAAAAGAAAAGTCACAAACACAACAGAAAGCAAATATCAAAACTCAAAATCATAAAAAATTACATTTTTTTACAAACTTAAAATACCAACAATATATGTATGCAAACTAGACCAACTTGACAACAACATATGTAAAAATTAGAGTTATCAATTGACCAAGGATTTTATTTTTGGTAATGGCTCCTAGTGAGTCTCCTAACATTCCTACACAATTTCAAAAAAATCGCTGCCCGGAAACTCTCAATTTTTTGACCTAAAAAATCGAAAATGGTTTCTTTTTTGCTATGAAATCACCACGAATTCTAATACAAAACTTTCAAATTTTTCTATTTCCGACAGTAATATTTCTTTTTAAATAACTTCATTCTTAAAAAACAATCATACAATTGTTATTTATAAATTATTTATTGAATAATTTTTAAATATTTCAATATTAATTGCCATTTAAAAGAATTGAGTTCACAATTTTCAAAAATAGATGAACTTCAAAAGGCTTTAATTTGAAATTTCATAAACTTTCAATTTTTAATGAATGTAATTAGAAACTTTAAAAAACTTAGATTTTTTCAAAATGTTAATAGTTCAAATTCTTCTTGAAATTAGTTAAATTTATCAATATATCGTCGGTTGGGTGCAGAAAGATGCCAATTCAGACTAATTAACAAATAGAAATTTTTTTTATACAAAATTTTTTTTTTCACACAAATTTATGTTTATTTAAGTAATATATGTCGATTTTGGTAAAAATTATTTTGAATTTAACAATTACCATTGTTATGAACAATTACATGAACAATAATCAAGTTTCTTTGACATTTGTAAACATTTTATGCATTTTTTAAACATAAAATGTTTATATAATATGTACATTCTTTCAAAAACTTTAAAAATTTATTAGCACAAACAATTACATTTGTAATTACACAATTATTTTTCTTATGTTAACGAGTTTAAAGTCATGTAAAGCTCTACTTGATTATTGCTAACTAGATTATTGTTCATTTAATTGTTAATAACAATGGTAATTGTTAAATTCCAAATAATTTTTACCAAAATCGACATATATTACTTAAATAAACATAAATTTGTGTGAAAAAAAGAAATTTTTTACAAAAAAATATCTATTTGTTAATTAACATTGTTTGCAACAATTTAAATTAATTTAATTGTATTATACATTATTATTTGTCTGGTGGTCATGCTGGACTAATTTAAATTGATTCCAATCATCTGCAACGAAAAAATAGAAAAATTAACATGATTTTTTCTAAAAATATTGTAAATTATTAACTTTAAATAACAAAAAAAAATATAAACAATTTAAAATTCAAAAATTGGTTTAGAGGAAACTCTTAGAAATTTTATTCCCTTCAATTTAAGACCAAATCCATGAAAATCCGATAAAATTTGTAGGTTACAGACAATTTTAAACAGTAAATTGTAAAAAATGCCAATGTTCGCGGGGCGAGTTTAACGTCATATAAAGCTCTACAAAGCTGCAGTTTTTAATTAATAACATTTTTCTAATTGAGGCTTATTTTTTTTCGAAACGGTTTTACACTCGGAGACATTTAAGGAATAGAATAAAATTTTAATTTTTCTGTTAGGAAGTAAAGAACATATTTGTTTATTAACATTTTATAAACAAATTATATAAAAAATTATAAAAAACAAAAAAATTTAAAAACAAAAAATATATTCAAATACAGTCGAACCTGGATAAGTGGTCCCTTGATAAGTGGGAATCCTCTTTAAGTGGAACTTTCTTTGCAGTCCCTGCACAAGTAATTTGACCTTAAATGACCTGGATAAGTGGAATACCTCTATAAGTGGAACAAGAACTTTGGTCCCTTGAGGTTCCACTTATCCAGGTTCGACTGTAGTACAATCCAAGACAAAAAAACCCATATTTTAATTTTAAAATCCGTCAACTGGAATATATAATATAACTATATAACTTAGTATATAATTTAGGAAAATATGATTAAACAATAAGTTTCAATCTAAAATAATACGGACATTTAAGTGTTCGATTCGAGTATCATAAAAGTTAACAGTTTCGTGGATTTGCCCATGTACGAGAATACTTAAAATTGACCGGGTCAAATAATACTTGTAAAATAAAATTTTACAAGTTTAATCCGACGACTTAAAAAATTTATTCAGTTAGTTTTAGTAGTTTACATTCTTTTTATTCATTATATAATTTTTATAATACAGTACAATTTTCAGTTTATTTTAATTTTTAGTCTATTATAATTCTTAGTCGTTTTTAATTTTTAGTCTTTTATAATTTCTAGTTTATTATAGTTCGTAGTGTATTATAATTTTTAGTTCATTATAATTTCCAGTTTATTAAAATTACGTATTTATAGGAATTAAAATTCAATAAAAATATAATTTTTTTATAATCTACATTGTATAATTGGTGGACAATCATTTATTCGTACACATCTGTCATCTGATTTAGATAGTTGAATGTAGCCTTCGTTACAAATACAGCCACTATTGCAGATCTGTTAAAAGATAGAAAAATTTTGATTAGTACAATATTTTATTGTTTTTATTATTTATTTTTAATTATTTTATTTTTTATTACTACAAATAATAATTTTTACATTACCAAAAATTTTGTTTCACTCGAATGGATAAGGAAACAATTATAAAATGTAGTACTAAAAGAGCATTTGTTATAATAATATTATAATACAAACATTTTATTATTATAATAATATTATTAATAATATAAAAATTTTTTTTAATTATATATTTTTCCTAAATTATTATAATTTTAATAATGTACTATATTAAATACTATAATACATTAAATATTATAGGTAATATTAATTTGATTTATAATTTTTGATAATAAATACCTATACAAAAATAAGTAGGTATAACAATAACTAAAAAAAAAAAAAAAAAAAATTAAATAAAAATTATTTGTTAACTTACGAAAGGGCAAAACCTTGGCGGTGGTGTATTTAGATCTTCACAAGTTCTTATTTCACAACCAGAACCACAACTAACATAATGTTTATTTTGTCCACAATGTTGAGCATTTATTGTAACTATTTTTGAAACAAAAAAAAATTGTCAAGATCATTTTTTATAATTAAGTACAAAAGACAAGTAAAAAATTTATTTAAAAAAGTGAACACAAATAGTAAGTAAAATTAATTTCCATAAATTATAATAAAAAAATTTCCAAATGTTCCAAAAGAAAAAAATATTTATTTTCTTAAAAAATTATTTAAAATATTTTACAAAAATTGAATAGAATAATTTTTTATTCAAAGCAAACTATTTAACTTACTTGCAGATGCAACCAATACAACAAATAAAATAACAAATGAATGTGACATTTTATTATTTATTATATTCTTTTTTTTTAACAAGAAAATTTTGTCCTGATGACTGGAAGTTTCAAACACGACTGAGTATTTTCAATTTTAAATCGATTTTTATATGCGACGCTCGGACCAAGAATGTCCGCTTTTTCATGGAAATGCCCATGTATCATCGTGTTTACATTTTTTCACTGTAAAATAGCTATAACCTTCGCGCTACCAAAGATTTTTGTATACGCAGACTACCGGACGGCCAAACGCTATTTTACTAATTTATGTTCCCAAAACGATTAACATTCATCATACGTTTTGTATGTAATTATGTGTTAATACAAATTCTGTATTTTTATAATGTTTTATGACATTTATGACATAAAACATTTATGTTATATTATTAAAAAATTATTTAAACAAATTATTGTTATTATTTACTAACTTTTTCCAGAATACACCCAGAAAGTTGCAGTTTTTTCCTAATTTTGCAATTTACTAAATCTTATATGATTACAGATAAAGAATAGAAATTGAATAAAAATTGAACTATTATTTAAACAATTTTTAAACAAATTATTGTTGTTACTTAGCAACTTTTCCCAGAATGCACCTAGAAAGTTGCAGTTTTTTCCTAATTTTGCAATTAACTAAATCTTATATCATATAAGATTTAGTAAATTGCAAAATTAGGAAAAACTGCAACATTCTAGGTGCATTCTGGAAAAAGTTAATAAATAACAACAATAATTTGTTTAAAAAACAATTATTAATTATAATAACTATTATTTAAACAATTTTTAAACAAATTATTGTTGTTATTTAAATTGGTTTAAAAATTGTTTAAATAATAGTCAAATTATTAACTAAATCTTATATCATATAAGATTTAGTAAATTGCAAAATTAGGAAAAAACTGCAACATTCTAGGTGCATTCTGGGAAAAGTTGGTAAATAACAACAATAATTAGTTTGAAAATTGTTTAAATAATAGTCAAATTTTTATTCTTTATCTGTAGTCGCATATAAGATTTAGTAAATGACAAAATAAGGAAAAAACTGCAACTTTCTAGGTGTATTCTGGAAAAAGTTGGTAAATAACAACAATAATTTATTTAAAAATTGTTTAAATAATAGTTCAATTTTTATTCAACTTTTATTCTTTATCTGTAATCATATAAGATTTAGTAAATTGCAAAATTAGGAAAAACTGCAACTTTCTAGGTGCATTCTGGACAAAGTTGGTAAATAACAACAATAATTTGTTTAAACTTTAAACAAATAAAAAATGTATTATAACATTATAATATACTTTATTTATTGATATAAAACAATTTGACTGTATAAGTTTAATGATTTTATTTTTTTGCATTATAAAAAAAACACCCGGTCAATTTTCAGTATTCTCGTACATACTTTTTTAATTGTTATAAATAAACAAGAAGAAATGTAAAAAAAAAAATTATTTTTGTTTTTTTCGAAAGTAGTTAAAATTTTGTTCAGTGAGTTAAAGTGGCGATTCGATTGATACAAAATTCGAGCAGATATACAACAAAATGTAATAGTTGGCCACCTTGGTTGGACACGTGCGGTAGCGCGAAGGTTATAGCTATTTTACAGTGAAAAAATGTAAACACGATGATACATGGGCATTTCCATGAAAAAGCGGACATTCTTGGTCCGAGCATCACATATAAAAATCGATTTAAAATTGAAAATACTCAGTCGTGTTTGAAACTTCCAGTCATCAGGACAAAATTTTCTTGTTTAAACAAAAAGAATATAATAAATAATAAAATGTCGCATTCATTTGTTATTTTATTTGTTGTATTGGTTGCATCTGCAAGTAAGTTAAATAGTTTGCTTTGAATAAAAAATTATTCTATTCAATTTTTGTAAAATATTTTAAATAATTTTTTAAGAAAATAAATATTTTTTTCTTTTGGAACATTTGGAAATTTTTTTATTATAATTAATGGAAATTAATTTTACTTACTATTTGTGTTCACTTTTTTTAATAAATTTTTTACTTGTCTTTTGTACTCAATTATAAAAAATGATCTTGACAATTTTTTTTTTGTTTCAAAAATAGTTGCAATAAATGCTCAACATTGTGGACAAAATAAACATTATGTTAGTTGTGGTTCTGGTTGTGAAATAAGAACTTGTGAAGATCGAAATACACCACCGCCAAGGTTTTGCCCTTTCGTAAGTTAACAAATAATTTTTATTTAATTTTTTTTTTTTTTTTTTTAGTTATTGTTATACCTACTTATTTTTGTGTAGGTATTTATTATCAAAAATTATAAATCAAATTAATATTACCTATAATATTTAATGTATTATAGTATTTAATATAGTACATTATTAAAATTATAATAATTTAGGAAAAATATATAATTAAAAAAAATTTTTATATTATTAATAATATTATTATAATAATAAAATGTTTGTATTATAATATTATTATAACAAATGCTCTTTTAGTACTACATTTTATAATTGTTTCCTTATCCATTCGAGTGAAACAAAATTTTTGGTAATGTAAAAATTATTATTTGTAGTAATAAAAAATAAAATAATTAAAAATAAATAATAAAAACAATAAAATATTGTACTAATCAAAATTTTTCTATCTTTTAACAGATCTGCAGAAGTGGCTGTATTTGTAACGAAGGCTACATTCAACTATCTAAATCAGATGACAGATGTGTACGAATAAATGATTGTCCACCAATTATAGGGGAATGTAGTCAAAGTTGGTTTACTGTCTAGGTAGGCCATCGCGATTTTTTGGACAAGTTCACTGGCGCCACCTACGCGCATGCTTGTCGAAGCTTGTCTTAGTAAAACCTAACTTTTTGTTCAATTACATTTTCGGAGGATCGAAAATTGTGTTTTCTGTGGCGTCGGTACAAAAAAAGCTCAAAAAAAGTTTTGTGCATAATGTGAAAAACCATTAATAAAAGATAAAAAACAAATTGAATCGTCAAGGCAAGTATGCAGAAAATTTGTGGGACTCATGGTTGAAAGGAAAACAAAGTAAAAAATCGAATCCCGAAACGTATTTCTTTATGGTTACAACAATTCGGTAATGTTACTTACTGTCAAGGTCGGCCACTATGTGTTTAAAATGCGCAAAGATGAGGACGAGCTACTTCATTTGCAAAAACTGCAATTCTGTATAACTCATAATATAATTGATCATCTTATTAATATTTTTATTTAATTTTATTAATATTTTAGTGCAAAATTTTTTTTTATTTATATTTACTTTTTTATCATGTTTATTTTTATTATTTTGTTATTTCATTAAGTTACAAACTGTAAACAATAAAGAATCAATTTTCCGTAACTCCAAACATGTTATTTTATTTTTTAAAGATTAATGCCCTTTGAATTTTAAACATGGCCGACCTTGACTGTAATGGCCAACCTGGACTACAAATTTTTTTTTTTTTAAATCTTTATAACTTTTTCATTTTTAAACCTGTCAATTTACTTTGTACAGAAAAAGTGTTCCTATTAAACAGGACTTTCCAACCATATACTTTAATTGTCCAAATTCATTTTTAAAAAAAAGTTATAAACAAAAGTCAAAAAGGTGGCCGACCTAGACTATGTTCCCCTACAATGTAGATTTTAAAAAAATTATATTTTTATTGAATTTTAATTCCTATAAATACGTAATTTTAATAAACTGGAAATTATAATGAACTAAAAATTATAATACACTACGAACTATAATAAACTAGAAATTATAAAAGACTAAAAATTAAAAACGACTAAGAATTATAATAGACTAAAAATTAAAATAAACTGAAAATTGTACTGTATTATAAAAATTATATAATGAATAAAAAGAATGTAAACTACTAAAACTAACTGAATAAATTTTTTAAGTCGTCGGATTAAACTTGTAAAATTTTATTTTACAAGTATTATTTGACCCGGTCAATTTTAAGTATTCTCGTACATGGGCAAATCCACGAAACTGTTAACTTTTATGATACTCGAATCGAACACTTAAATGTCCGTATTATTTTAGATTGAAACTTATTGTTTAATCATATTTTCCTAAATTATATACTAAGCAACATTTATGTACAGTATTAGAACAAAATATTAATTTGTCAATTAATTTTATGAGTTTAAAATTGAAAAAACGCTTAAATTTCATTTGAAACTCTCAGAAAAGTATACAATTTTAACGTTTTTATTTTTGCGGCGTGTGAATTGAACAGTTTCGTAATTTTCTATAAACATCGCGTAGGCTACAAATAATTGAATCGAATCGAACGATTAGAAAAAATTGAAATTAAATGAGTACCCAACAAAGAATTTACCTCCAATATATTTCTGATTTCCTGCTTAAGATTCGACTTTACGCAATCGTATCTCGAATGCGTAATATCGACAAAAGCGATTTGCCGTTGCAGGGTCGAGAGAGGATTCTGCGATGGCATAGCGCAACAACGCGATTATTATATATTATACTAAAAAAAATAATATCACTTCTGGTAAATATCAACTTCCAGTATATAATACCAACACCCCTCTCGATAGAATACAAACACATATATATATATACAATAATTTTAGCCTCGTAGTTTCATACTCCTCGATATGTTTCCCTGTTAAATAAGCACCAGTAAAGTGTCTGAAAGAACTTATTCATTCAGGAGAATTATGTAAAAAAAAATTATTGAGAATTGTCACTAAATAGTGTACATATAATGCGTGTGATGATAGTACACAAGGGACATTAATGAGAAAAAAAAGTTATGTACTAATTTGACGAAAATTAAGTGAATGCTTGCTTTATTAATTTGAAGAAATTCAATTATGTATAGTATTGAGTCACCTTGATGAGCGATGAATTGAAGAAAATTTAGTTGAGTAAAAGGAGAGCATAAGAAAAAGAAAAAAAAGATTTACTAGCACTTTGCTACATTCCTGATGAGATATTTGCATATGAGGAGCATTATTAATTCCTTCTTTATTATATATTTAAAGGTTAACTTTATTTCTCATTTTTTTTTATACCAAAAAATAAAATTTCAACTGTTTTTTTAAATTTAAAAATCAATTATTTTATTGATCTTTACTATTTATTAATTAATGATTGACAACAAAAAAAAAGAGTATAACTTTTTCTTTGAACAGTTTTTTAAAAAGATAAATATAATAAAAAATAGAATAAAATAAATATAAAATGCTGTCGCATTTTATATTTATTTTATTCTATTTTTTATTTTATTTATCTCTTTTTTGTTTACGCATTTCTTCTTTTTAGCCAAAAAAAAAAAAATATTTTTGAACTTTTTTGTTTTTGTTCTACAGTGTAATTTTATTTATTCTTGTAAACTTTATTTGCATACGAGAAGCTTCATCAATATTATTATTTTAAGCGTTATTAAATTTAATTAAAGTAAGAAGAGCATCAATTTTTTAATGCGCAATAATTTTCGTATCAATTAAATTAAACTTTAATTAATAATTTTTGATTAATCAAATGGTTTAATATTTCATTTTTGTTTTCGGAGTTTTTTCTTTTTTTTTCAAAAAAATAATTTTGGTACTATTTTTCATTCTTATTATAATTGTGTAACTTTATTTATTTTTCTTTTGTAAAATTTATTTGCCTAAGGGAAGCAGAAAATATTTGAAGGAAAAATTTCGTATTCGTAGTTTAAACTTTGGAAAAAAAATTTTATTCTATAGAGAAACAGAATTGTCGCGCATGAGTTATAGGAAGTATTCGCGTTTTTTTCGCATGTTATTTTATTGTAGCTATATATAAATACAATATACATAACACTTCAAGAATCAGATCAACAGAATCGCGCGCAACGTATTCTTTTGTTGCGCATGACAGATTTTTTTTTCTTTAATATTTGTCGTATATGCGTTTTAAATGTTAAGAGAGCGCTGATTTCAAGGTAGAGGGGCGAATGATGCGCAGCGCGGCCACTCCGCATTTCTCCCTTTTTATAAGAGCACTATAAATGATGAAGAAGTTTCAAATAAATCGGTAACAAAGAAATTTATAAATTACACAAATATATGTGAAAGCAATTTTCCAAATTTATCGGAAAATTTATTCTTCACTGTACGATTAAATTTCATTTCTTTTTTTTTAAATTCAATTTCTTAAGCGCAACACGCAGTTTCAACTTTCTTTTGAAAAATTTTCTTCAAGATTCTCACAATGATATAAGAACTCATTTTTATTTTTATTTATCTATTTTTTATTTATATTTTTTCATTTATTACTTATTCATTTTTCATTAATTTTTTTTTTTATTGTTTTCATTTTTTAATTTAAAAAATTTTTTTTCATTTGTTTTTCTATTTATTTTTCTTTAAATTACTTTTAGTCTAAATAAATGATTAAGCAATCTAGAAAATACGAGTGCTCATTAAAAAAACACTTGTTTAATTAGTAATAAGAATTTTTTTTATATTTTTATCAAATTTTTCATATTTTAGTTTATATTTTTTGTTATTTTATTTGCAAATTAATTTTGCGATACAATCAGTAAAATGATGAAAGAACACTAAAATTTATAGGCTTAATAAATTGTCGTCAACAAAAATTTAATGTTATTATTATTATTATTATTACTATGAAAAATTACTAGCGGTATTCCATTTATTATTGTTAAGCAAATTGGAAAATTTTTTATTTTCAAATATGAATTTCAATGTTCAATCTTTGAATAATTTTAGAGTCAAAATTTTTAATCATTCACTTATTAACTAATTAATTATTTATTTATTTTTAAAAATTTTAATAAACTTCTTCTCAGCCATTAAGTTATTTCCAATACAATTGGTCGAAAGAATTCAATTATTATAATTTAAAAGTTTTGGTAAAATTTTATATAAGAATTCAATTATTTTTAAAAAATTGAATACCTAGAATTTTTTATATGAATTTTAAGAAAATGATGGGAAAAATTCAATTATGTTGAATACAATTTTAATCAAATTTATAAGAAAGATTCAATTATTTTAAAAATTTTGTACAAAGTTTTTCGAAAGATTTCAATTATTCTTATTAGTCCAATTATTTGGTAAAATTTTTTATAAGAATTCAATTATTTTTAAAAAATTGGATACCTAGAATTTTTCATATGAATTTTAAGAAAATGATGGGAAAAATTCAATTATTTTGAATACAATTTTAATAAAATTTATCGAAAAGATTCAATTATTTTTAAAAATTTTTATAAAGTTTTTCGAAAGAGTTCAATTATTTATGAAAAATTTAATAAAATTTTTTGCAAGACTTCAATTTATTCACTGCAAACAAGTTTTTCTTCTTAAATTAAAGAATTAAATTTTTTTTGCTAAGAATACAAATATTTTCAAAAATTTTAATGAAATGCTGGAAAGAATTCAATTATTTAAAAAAAAACTTGTAATCAAATTTAATAATCAAATTTTCGAATTCAATTAATAACAAACACGATTATTTTTAAATCTTTAAAGGAATTTTTCATAAAACTCAATTATTTTCAAAATTTTTAATTAACATTATTAAAAAAATTACATTATTGTCAAAAAAGTTGAAAAAAAATTCTTCAAAAGAATTTAATTATATCTTCGAAAACTCTAAAAAATTCTTCGCAGGAATTCAGTTATTTTCATTACAATAATAGAATTTCTTGAAAAAAATGAATTATATTTAAAAATGTTGATACAATTATATTCATAAGAATTTATTTATTTTCAAATTTTCATATTTATTATTTTCAAATTTTCACTGAGAAAACAATATATTTGAATCAAACAAAAATTGTTTGATTTTGTTCAACCAAAAATTATTTTTGAATTAAACATAATAATTTTAATTCAAATAATAAGTTTCATTCAATAAGAATTACTTTTAATTAAATTATAAAATATCTTTAATTCTAACACATTTTTTTAGTTGGCTACTCATTTTTGAATTAAAACAAATTTTTTCTCAGTGTTTGGACAAAATTCTACAATTCAATGATTTTCAATACAATTTTTATAAAATTTGTCGAAAGAATTGAATTATTTTCAAAAAAATGTTGATAAAATTATTCATATGAAATTATTTATTTCTACTACATTAATTATAAAATTTGAAATTTTATTTACAGTGAAAAATAACCAAAAAAAAAATTTATGAAACGAAATCATTTTTTTCTCAGTGTACAATATTTTCTTAGTGATACAACAACAAAAGAAGAAAAAAATCATCATTAAATATTTTTACTATTTAAATTTAATTTAAAATTTAATTATAATTATGTGGACAATATCTGTTAAAGCATAATTGATTATTATTTGCTTTTCGTTGTAATTCATTTCATTATTATTAGTATTATTATCATTATCGCCATTTTATTATTGTTACTATTATTATTTTTTTAATTCTATTATTATTATTTTTTAATACTATTATTTATTAAAATTGTTATTATTATTTTTTAAATTCTATTATTATTATTTTTTAAATTCTATTATTATTATTTTTTTATTACTATTATTTATTGAAATTGTTATTATTATTATTTTATAATTTTAATTGTCTTTATTACCATTGAGGAAACTGTTATAAAATTACTGCGCCAAAAGAATGATATATAGAAAAAGTGCCTGAAATAGTAAATAGAAGAAGAAGTCTAAAATAAAAGATTGTGAAGAAAGAGATAGCTTGAGAAAATAAAAGAGAGGGAGATAAAAAAAAGGAAAAGAGAATCCTCCTTTATGCGGCTGTTTGCCTAGCAATTACTATAAGTCAGTGACGCGCTTGTCTGGACGTTAATTAGTTGTGGCTATTAATTGGTGGCTGATAAGCTTGACCGTATATATACAGCGTCAAGAATCACGTGTCTACAATGAACAGGATTCCAGGATATATTCCAATATATATATAAATAGAAGTCCTGCTTATATTTATACAATGTATATATATCTAACTGTAAAAGTGGTTCTTCGTTCAGGAATGTGTTGCTTCCTCTTGTTTTCACATAAAATCCTGATGCGCAGCGCGTCAGCCGCATATGACAACATTTCAATTCTCTATGCAGGCACTCGATTGTACACCCAGAGAAAAATTTTTATTTAAACCAAATATATTTTATTTGAGTTAAATAAACGTATATTTGTCTCAGAACCCAACTAGACTTTTTATTTGTTTTGAATAAAAATTTTATTCGCCAGAAATAAATCAGATTTTTGAGCCAAATAAAATTTTATTTAAACCAAATAAAATTTATTTGAAACAAATAAAAAGTCTGGTTGGTTCTGAGTCATATCTCTTCTCTGGGTATAGGATTCTTTTTAATTTTACAGTAATTATTTTATTTGAATTGAAATTCTTATTTGGAGTTTTAATTGGAAAATTTGTTTATAGATTTCAGAAAGCTTGTGTCAAATATGGAGTACCTGACGTTGATCTATTCCAAGCTGTTGATCTAATGGAACGCAAAAATATCTCCCAAGTGACGAATACAATCTTTGCTATCGGTCGCACTGTAAGTGTTAAAATAATATTAAAAGATAAAATTCAATTATTTTATTTATATTTTATACCAAAATTTGTTGTGGTTTAAAGAAATGATTTGACTTTAATTTAAATTATAATAGAAAATTATAATTTTTCTTTTATTGAAAGAAATTTTCTTTCATTCAAAAAACATTTCTTTGTTTCAAAAAAAATTCATTGTTCAAAAAAAAGTCGTTGTTTAAAAAAAATTCTTTGTTCAAAAACAATTTCTTTGATTAAAAAACATATTATTTATTACAAAGAAATTTTTCTTTATAAAATAAAGAATTATTTCTTTGACTTTTTATTTGTTTCAAATAAATTTTATTTGGTTTAAATAAAATTTTATTTGGCTCAAATATATTTTTTATTTATGTCGAATAAAATTTTTATTTAAAACAAATAAAAAGTTTAGTTGGTTCTGAAACAAATATACGTTTATTTAACTTAAACCATAAATATAATTTATTTGTGTTAAATAAAAATATATTTGTCTCAGAGCCAGGTATATTAATTATTTGTTTTAAATAAAAATTTTATTCGACATGAATAAAACTTTAATTTTTGAATCAAAAAAAATTTTATTTAAACTAAATTAAATTTTGTTGTAACAAATAATAAGTCTAGTTGGCTCTGAGTCAAATATATTTTTTTTCTGGGTGTATATCAATGATAAAATTTCTTTGAGTTACAGAACAAATTTTTCTAATTCAATGAAAATTTATGTTTGAATCAAAGAAAAGTTGTTTGAGTCAAAGAAGTTTTCTTTAGATCAAAATCCTCTTTTTGTTTAAAAATAAGTTTTTTGAAAAAAAATTTTTTAATGAAACAAAAGGCTGCAGTTTAAGAAACTGATTTCTTTGAATTAAGGGCATTTGAACCTTGATGACGTTTCAGTTTGTGCAAAGCATGTGTGACGTCATCAAGTTTCAAATGCCCTTAACAAAAACTTTTTTCTGGATGTTGTACACAGAGAGAAAAACTTTATTTAAAACAAATATAATTTATTTTGGTTAAATAAAAACGTTGTCTCAGAGACAAATATTAATTTGTTTAATTTAATAATTGTATACGACAAAAATAAAACTTTTATTCAAACTTTTTATTTTTTTTTTATTTTATAAAATAAAATTTTATTTAAATTTAAACCGAATAAAGTTTATTTGAAACAATTAAAAAGTGTCTAATTGGCTCTGAGTAAAAAATATACACCAAGAGAAAAGATATATTTGACTCAGAAGCAACTAGACTTTTTATTTTTGTTTCAAATAAATTTTATTTTGTTTAAATAAAATTTTGAATTAAAACGTTTTATTAAAATTAATTCAAAATAAAATTTTTAATTAAAAAAGTTATTTATTAGTATAAATAACTTAGTTGGTTCTGAGACAAATATATACGTTTATTTAACTCAAATAAAATATATTTAGTTTAAATAAAATTTTTCTCTAGGTGTATCTTTTTTTGGAGTGTAATAGCAAATAAAATAAATAGAATAAAAAAAAATTAAATAAATAATATAAATAAACTAAATAAATTATTACAGACGTACAGACATCCAGAATGGCGTGGTCCAAGTTTGGGACCAAAACCATCAGAAGAACACAAACGACATTTCACCGAGGAACAATTGAGAGCAGGAGAAGCTGTTATTGGCTTGCAAGCTGGTTCAAACAAAGGAGCCAATCAGTCTGGTCAAAGCTTCGGTGCTACGAGAAAAATTCTCCTTGGAAAATAGAAAATCGAAAAGTTATATAATTTCTCCTTTATTCTTTTAAAAATTATACATATTACACTGTTATTCATTTGTTATTAGTTTATTTGTTTAACTTTATTGTATTATTATAATTAATCAGGAGAAAAAAAATCGTAATACTTTAATTACTTTATAATTAATTAATTATTTGATTGATTAAGTATTGCAATGAATTAATTTTAATTGAATATAGTTCTTCATTCATTCGATTGGATAATTGTCGTAATTATTTAATCCTTTTTTTAACTAAATAATTATTCATTTAATTGGATGATTATTGTAACTGATCAATTCTTTTTAATAAAATAATTATTTAGTTATTTGACTAAGTATTGTATATTTAATTAATTTTAATTAGTTAATTTATTTGATTAACTAATTATTGTAATTACTTATTTTTTTCAATTAATTAATTAATTAAATTAATTAATTAAATTAATTAATTTCTTTCACCTTTAATAATTAATGAATTGTTTAAATAACTTTCCCGCAGAGTACGAAATTAAATATGTGTAATTTTGTATAATGAAAAATTGAATCGAAAAATAAAATACAATATAATAAAGTTTTAGTCGTTAAGAAAAATGATTGATAAAATTTTTCTAATTTAAGTATGCGGTTGTAAATTTTTGTTTTTTAATTATTTATACTATTTTGTTTTTAGACTTATTGCTCTATGGCGTTTGAGTGGGTAGATGTCTGATACTGGGTTCCTGGTATGACTGAGAATTGTATGTTTGTAGCTGTAGAATGTGTATTACTGTATACATATTCGAGTTGTGTGAACAAGAGTGTTATCAGTACGTGACGTGTACATACGCAATTTCTTCCCAGTTTCTACACCGTGAAGCTTCGAGGATCACAGGCAAGTATCTCACGCTGCTGGATGAATGCAAGTTACGTGTTCAAATATATACCGTAATTTTATTTCATTATATAATATATTTATTTATTAACAATTACATTAAAATGTTCCTAAAATGCCGATGGATATTCCTTTTGGAATATTCCAATAAGAATCTTGAGCTAAAAAAAGTTGTATTCTTTTAGAAAATTTCTTTAATATTTGATTAATATTTAATATTTGAAATATTATAGATTTCAGTTCCTAAAATGTTGATGAAATATTCCTTTATAATATTCTCAATGTTCCAATGGAATATTCCAGGTGTGCGAATGGAAAATTTTGAACTAAAAAAGTTTTCGACGTAATATTTTTTTGAAAATAGTATTTTTTAGCAATATTCTTGTAATATTGCATTGAAATATTCCAACTATATCCCAATTATAATATGGAATATTCCTGCATTATTCCTATATAGGAATATTAAAATGTTCGATCTATGAAATGTTTTTTTTTATAAAAAAGTTTTCGACGTAACATTTTTTTTGAAAATTATATTTTTTAGCAATATTCTTGTAATATTGCATTGAAATATTCCACTTATAATATGGAATATTCCTGCATTATTCCTATATAGGAATATTAAAATGTTCGATTTATGGAATGTTTTTTTTATAAAAAAAAATTCCTTAGATCGAACATTTTAATATTCCTAAAATTTAAATGAAATATTCCGTACAAATATTCCCAATATTCCAACTGAATATTCCAGAAATGCGAATGAAATATTCCCCGCTATTGGAAATTATTATTATATTATCATTTTTGTTATTATTATAAATTAATTTTATTATTAAAACAGTTCAAATTTTTTCGACTCAAAATTAGTCTTTTCTTTATCGAATTTTTTTTTCCATTCCAACTATGATAGTATTATTTGAATAGCAGTTTTCGTTTATTCATAAGAAAGAGAGAGAGTTGCGTGTAGAGTAAGTAGTTGAGTAATCTCGTGGAAAGGATGACGGCAGACCAGTTCTCTGACTTGAATAGGTATTCAGAAATTCAGAGAAGGTTCTTGACTCCTTCTTTAATTCCTAAGATCCTCATAAAAGGGGAGCGTTTCGGAGTGCCGCTCGAATCTTACCTCATTTCATCATGCATTTTTAATCACAACTCACATTCATTTAGATACTATTTTTAATGTTCCCCCTCTTCTGAAATTTTCAAATTTTATTCAATTCAATATAAATTTTTCGATTTTCAATTATTTTTACATTTTCAATTATTTTATATTTCTCTCCTTAATTATCATAATTAGGTACATTTCTTTACTTTATAGATTTTTTTTAAAAACTATTTGCAACTCTAATTAATTGGTCTCAAAAAGTTTTTTTTTTGGATTTTTATCCCAAATTGAGGTAAAATTATTGGATAAAATATTAATATCGAAGCAAAGAATTTCTAATTTCTATTTCAATAATTTCCGATTTAGAAAAAAAAAATTAAATTTAGAAAATTTTTGATGTTAAACTATACGATAAAACTAGTTTCACTTTGATAATAATAAAATCGACTGAGAAATAACTTTCTTTTAATAATTTTCGAATTAGAAAAAAGGGGGAATAATTTGAATAATTTAAAATTCTTTTCGAATTTTATTGGTAAAAACAAATTATTTTTTGTTGTTGTTAAACTATACGGTAAAAATTGTTTTTGCCTTAATAATAAATTCTACTAAAAAATAAAATTCTATTTTAACAATTTTCGATTTAGACAAAAAAAAATTAGTTTTATAATATTTTGGGAATTTTATTGGAAAAAATAAATTCGCGAATTTAAAAACAATAAATATTTTTTGTTGTTGCTAAACGACGTTGAAACTAATTCTGCTTAAAAAATAATATAAGTTTCAGTGAGAAAGAAATTTCTATTATAATTTCCGATTTAGAAAAAAAGGGGGAAAAAATTTGAATATTTTTAGAAATTTTATTTGAAAAAATAACTTATTTTTTGTTGTTCAACTGCGATAAAACTAGTTTCATTTTGATAATAAATTCCACTGAGAAAAAAGTTTCTTTTTGAATAATTTCCAATTTAGTAAAAATGGTGAAAAAATTTGATTATTTTTTTGAAATTAGAAAAAATAAATTTGTAGATTTAAAAAAAAATTTGTTGTTGCTAAACAAGAAATTAATTTCGCTCTAACAATAATAAAATTCAGTGAGAAAGAATAATTTCTGTATAATAATTTCGAATTTTAAAAAAAGGGGGGAAAAATTAAATTTTTTTTTTAAAAAACTAAAATTTAAAAATTTTATTTAAAAAAATAAATTAGTTTTCTTTTTGTTTAACAACCATAAAACTAGTTTCACTTTAAGAATAATAAATTCCAGTGGAAAATAAATTTCCATTTAAAAAAATTCCATTTTAAAAAAAATGAAAAGAAAATTTGAATTATTTAAAATTTTTTTTCTCGAATTTTATTGTCAAAAATAAATTATTTTTTTTATTTTTTGTTAAACTACGATAAAACTAGTTTCCCATTCCAATAAGAATATTATTCCAGCGAGAAAACAAGTCTTTCCAGTTTAATTTCTTGTCGACCAACTCGCTTGCTCTGATCTCCGGATTGTAAGGAGTCTCTATTCTGCGACAAACGGTTAGAAACTCCCATTATGAATTGTAAACTTTGAAAAAAGAAGGAAATGGGAGAAAAATATGTTGTCTATTTTATATACGTACACGGAACCTTTACAGGTGAATTTTCTCTGTATTTAACTTGAGTCTCACTAACATTTACAAATACGTTTATGTACAAATACATATATGTACATGAACACTGTTTACAATACATTCACTTATACTCTCTCTCTCTCTCTCTCTCCTTCTCGTTTTATTCACACACTAAAGAAATAAATTTATTTACCTTAAAAATAATCCCGAAAATTTCTCTTTAAGAAAAAATTAACAGTCAATTTTATTCCCTCGATTTTCTATCTAATCGGAAAAAAATTTTTTCAAGTCAAAAAAGATTTTTTTTAGCTGAAAATTAAAAAATTAACTTTTGTTTATCACAATTCTGTTGATGGGTTAAAATAACTTTTTTAACGCTTAATAATTCTTTGATTCAAATAAATAATTTTAATGATTAATAATAAAAATAGAAATTTTTTTAAAAATTATTTTTTGTCTCTTGTGAAAAAATTACTCTTTATTTAAAATCGATTTAGATTATCGATTTTAGATATTGATTGAAAATTTCGTTTCGGACGAAAATTACCTCTAATAATTAATAACTTTCCCAAGGACAAATATTCTCAAATTTTGAATTTTATTCAAAAATATTTTTTTTACATCTAATAATTTTTTCAAAAAAAGAAAAAAAATACCATAAGTAAATTTTTGAAAAAAATATTTCTTTTTTCAACAATTAATTTTTTTTGCCAAAGTTTAATTTTTGAAACTTTTTGAAATTTTTTTTTATAAATAATTTTTTTTTTCAAATTTTTATAAATTTATCGATTGAGTAAATTTGTGTGCCATCTGTAGTGAGATATGTTAGACATTTCCACAGAGTTTGCTTGTGTGGAAATTGTGTTTCAGTGAGAAGAACATGGACGAAGTTTTCAGTGTGTCTCCTTTTAAAAGGTATGTTTTTTCGTATTTTTATTGATGAAAAAGGACTTTGAAATTAAATTTTTGATTATATTATTTTTTGACAATCGAATTTTAATAATGGGGAATAAAATTTATTTGCAAAGATCGTATATTGTTCACAAAAAGAAAAGAAAAACGATACGTTTTAGAAGTATTGGGCGATGTTTATACGAGAGAAAGTGTTAACAATGTTTTTTTAAATAATAATCGATTGTCATTAATTTATTATTAATTTGTTCTGCCACGTTAGCTGTGAATTGACATTCTGAATTATTTTTTAAGCCTAGGTGTTGAGGTAATACTTTTTTTCCTTGTAAATTGTGAGTAGTTTTTTTTTTTTACTTTTTGGAGTAGAAATTTTTGGAGCAATATTTAATATTATCTTGTTTCATATTTTTTAATCGACTACTTTTGTCAGTTCTTTTATTTTTAATATCTTTTCCTATATCCTTTTCAGCAAGGAAAGTTTTAAAAAAATGTGTTAAATAATAAATAATAAAAATAAAATAAATAATAATAGAAGTTAAAAATAAAAAAAAATACGTAGAAGAATTTTTAATTCTATTATTGGAATAATTGAAATTTATTTTCAGGTAGAAACAATAAAGTGTCATGCTGAAATCGAGAAAAATTTATATTTTTATTGAAATAATTTTGGATTAAAAGAGACAGAGACGGAGTTAAAATATTACTTTCTGATTCTAATGAAACAAAAATGCCTTCTACCTGTGGCGATGTCGTCGAAATTACTGGTAAGTTACTCAAAAATGTAAAAATAAAAATATTCTCCGAATAAAATTAGTCTTTCGGTAATTTTTAGATTTTTGAACTCTATTAAATTTTATTTATTTATATTGATGCTAAATTACTCAAAAATATATAAATAAAAATATACTGTAAATAAAATTAGTTTACAGTCAATTTTTAGATTTTTGAAAACAAAATATTTAGATTTATTATTTTTAAATATTTAATCATATTTGAATATTTAAGTATTTTTTTTTGTTATAAAAAAATTCGTAATTTTATAAATTTAAGTTTAATATGAAATTTATTGAATTTTATTTAATTTTAAACCATTTTTAAATTATTAAATTTCATTTATTCATGTTTATGCTAAAGTGTTTATTAAATTTATTAATTTGTAAAACTGTGTAATTTAAATTATTAATTAATATTATTATTGCATTATAATTTCTATTACATATTTTGAATTATTTTCAACTATAAAAATTAAAATATTCAGTGAGTAAAATTAACTTATTGGTAATTTTTTGTATTTTTAAACCCGAAATATTAAGAATTATTTAGTTTAATCCTTTAGATATTTAAATATATATATATATATATTTTTTTAATACTAAATAATTTATTAAATTTTATATAATTTTATACTGGAAATAATCAAATTTTATATCATTTTATGTAATTGAAATTATTAATAATTATGTTGATGGTAAATTACTCAAAAATATTCTAAGATTAAAATTAGTTTATTGGTAACTTTTGTATTTTTGAACATAAAATATTGAGAAATATTATTGTCAGAAACTGGGTAAAATGGATTTTAAAATCTATTTAAAATGTAATTCTAAATATTTTTTTTTCTATTTGAAATGAGATTTTAAAAACCATTTTACCCGCAGCTATGATAATAATCAGAGCAGAATTAATGGTCGAAGTGAAAATGGTTTAAATTAATTACTAATTATTTAAATATTATTTATTTTTTGTTAGATAAATACTAATAATAATTTATTATTAAACAAAAACAAAAATTACAAAATAATTTATTATATTTTACACATTTTTAATTAATTTAAATTATTAAATTTTCTAGGTAATTTTGTGTTGTTTATATATTGAATTTTTCAAATTCTACTATTTACAGTTAATTTTAAATGAATTTCGACACAAATAATGTTTTTTTTTTCTAATGTCACTGATGTGCTTTCATACTCAAAAAATAAATCAGCTGAAATAACAAAGTATTAATAAAACTCTCACTAAGTAAAGATAATATGTTTTCCTGAATAGCTTTGTGTCGTTTCAATTCTCAAAACTCTTCTTTTTTTCAAAATTTTTTCCTTTTGCAATTATTAATAAAATTCTAACAAAAGTGCCTTTCAAAAATAATTAATAATTAAAATAGTAACAATAATAAGAATAGTAATTATAAAAAGAAATTTGTATTTATCGTACAAAAGAATCTTTCAAAAATTAAATAAATTATAGAAAATGAAAAAAAAAAATTATTTGTAAAATATTTTTATTATTTTTTTTTATTAAATTTTTGGTTTTTTTTACAGTCACAACACCACAAACAGTGGTGGACGGAATTTCAAGTACGGACAGTGTTGGTACACACAGCGATGTTTCGGTGCTTACGACAATTTCTGGTAGACCAAGAATGGACGTTGCTTGTGTTCTTGATTTACATCAACCTGAACATCTTGCTCAAAGGAAAAAAGCCTTCGAAGAAATTAAACACGCTTGCAATTTAGTGAATGCAAAAATGCATTATATACAAGTATATAACAAATTTATTAAAACTAAAAAATTATACTAATTTTCAATTCAAAAAATTAATATTAATTAATTAAATAAATAGTCTTTGATTCTAATGAAACAAAAATTCCTGAAAAAAATAAAATTTTAATTTATTATAATAATTATGAATTTATTTATTTATAATATGAAATAATAAATTTATTTACTTATAGTATTAAGAAATAACAAAAAAATGATCCTAATGAGTTTGAAAATTTTTTCCAGTTCGAGAAATTGGATTTTGGTGAAACGAACGTATTGGACACATTTTATAATGCAGATGTTGCAGTCGTCGATTTGAGCGTTCAACTCCAACAATCTGCACTTTTTTATCACTTGGGAGTTCGTGAGAGTTTTGACATGAAGGAAAATATTCTTCTAAATAACGACACAGACGCTGAAGCCACAATTAGACTCAAAGTAAGTTTCAATAATTTTTTTTTTTCTGGACAATAAAAAATGTGTTTAACAAATAAATTAACATAGAATTAAAATTCTTGAAATGAAAAATAATTTCAGACAAAAAATACTTTTGAGAAAATTTTATTTGATTCTATCGTAAAAATATTAATAATTATTAATAATAGAAACGTGATAATTATTAATTAAAATTATTCTCAAGTTTATTAATCTCTGATTTTTGAAGTTAATGCTAAAAAATGTTTAGTAAATCACTGCTTGAGACATTTATATGCATTCCTTATTAAGGGACGAGAAATGATGACAAATAATATGCATACGGCCTTGGTGATTTATTAAAGCTTATATACAATATAGTGTTGGTCTCAATTAAAAGTGTTATTAATAAACTTGAGAATAATTCGAATGACCTAGTCTTACCTTGTTAAGATATTGTCCTTCATTTTTTTCTTTTAAATTGCAATTAAAAAGAATTTATACGAGTAGCGTGTGAATCTTCGTATTTACATCAAAATTTTATTCGCAGATTGCTTTTTAGATAATAGAAAACGTCTACGTTTAAATTAAAATTAAAAGAAAAAAAAATATTTGACCCTTTTATTTTCCATTTCGAAAGTCCTCCCCAAAAAAGTGAAAAAGAAAATATTTACAAAAGATTGCAAAAATATTGATTAAAATATAAAAGCAAATTAATTTCATTACAAGAATTAAAAATTTTCATCACTAAACACTTCCCAAACACCCAAGTGGAAAATTTTTCTAAAAATATTCAAAAATAATTTTTATGAGTTAAATTAGAAGAAAACAAATTAATTTTATTTGAAGATTAAAAATTTTGAAAAATTTTAAATCCCAGAAAATCAAATAGGAAATATTTGTTTAAACATTTAAAAAATAATTATTATAAGAATTAGAAGAAAACAAATTAATTTTAATAATAATTTAAAGAGAATTTAAATTCACAAAAATCGTGTGGTTAATATTTATAAAAAATTGCAAGAATAATTTTTATGAATAAAATTAGAAGAAAACGAATTAATTTCATTTGAAGAATAAAAAATTTTGAAAAATTTTAAATCCCAAAAAATCAAGTAGTAAATATTTGTTTAAACATTTAAAAAATAATTATCATAAGAATTAGAAGAAAACAAATTAATTTTAATAATAATTTAAAAATAAAAAATTTAGGTCTAAAAAAATTCCGGCGTTGGATAAAAAAAATCTAGTTTGAAATATTTACGAAAAATTGCAAAAATGATTTTTATAAATAAAATTAGAACAAAGTGAATTAATTTTATTAATGAAATTTAAATTTTTTATATACAATTTAAACACACAAAAAATTGAGGGGGAAATATTTATAAAAGTTTGCAAAAATAATTGTTTCGAGTAAAAGTAAAATAAAAGCAATTAATTTTATTGAATAAATTAAAATTTAAAAGAAAATTTAAATTCACAAAAAATCGAGTGGAAAATATTTATAAAAAGTTACAAAAATAATTGCAAAAATAATTTTTATTACCAAAATTAGAAGAAGACAAATTAAGTTTATTGGAGAAATTAAAATTGAACATTTTGAAAAAATTTTAATTCCCAAGAAATCGAATAGGAAATATTTATTTGAACATTTAATAAATAATTGCCATAAGAATTAAAGGAAAACAAATTAATTTTAATAATAGTTTAATAATAATAAATTTAAGTCTAAAATAATTCCAGCAAGGGATTAAAAAAAATCGAGTGTGAAGTAATTACGAATTTGCAAAAATGATTGTTAAAAAATAATATAATTGTTGGGAGTAAAATTAAAACAAAACCAATTAATTTTATAGATAAAATTAAAATTTTCAAAGATTTAAAATAATAAAATAAAAAAAATCGATTAGGGAATATTTTTTACGAAAGAAACTGAAAATTTCAAAAATCGAAAAATATCTAATTGTGACGCTCCACGAGAAAAGGGACCTTATGACAAGAGTAAATAAGGTCCCTTTTCTCGTGGAGCGTCACAATTATACAAAATATAAAATAGTTAATTAGAGAAATACATTTTTAAAAAATGCTTGCAGCGGTTATTTACCTTTTACATATTGATAAAAGATCTTTATAAAAAAATAAAAACTTGGGTATATCAGGAAGTATAAATGAGTTCATGTTCTTAATATAGCCATTATACCATAGTAGTTGCTGTTCATGCAGTCAGTTAATTCACAATATAAAAGAAGAAAGATGTGCTATTTCAGTTCTATTATTTTAATAGTGTGGAAATTATTCGTTTTACTTGAAATTTATATGTTTTACTCTATTTCATTCAACAAAGCTCGATTGAAAATTGTCAATTCTCATTAAATATCAAATAAAAATGCCGTCAGATATTAATCGCGATTCAACTTTACACGTTTACTTCATAATAGATGCAATATTAATTTTATTGATGACATTCATAATGTCTTTGTACATTCTCGTTAGAGGACATTTACTCGTAATTGAGATTTTGTAAACTTTATTTTATTTGTTATTTTAATAAATTTACTGTCGAAAATATTCTACGAAAAATATTTGGAAAACTGTAAGTTTTATTTTCGATTCTTTGCTTTAAATTAAACAACAATTTTTTAAATAAATAATAAACAAAAAAAATTAAATAATTTGTAAATAAAATTAAAATAATGTTATTTATTTTTGTTAATGATAAATTATAAATTGCTAATTATTAATTATCAATATTTTTTAATACAGTAACATTTAGTTATTGTATTTTTTTTAGTCAATAATTTTTAATTATTAATTTTTTATTAACTATAAAATATAAAAATATAATAATTTATTAAAATTGCATTTATTTAGTTCTTTATTTATTTAAATCTATTTATTTTTTCTATCTATTTAATATTATCTGTATATTATTTATTTATTTATTGAACTTAATTTTTCTATTAAATAAATTTTTGAATAAATAAATTAATTAATTCATATAATTTATAATTATTTTTTGATAAATTTTTGGATTTCAAATTTAATATTTATGTATTTATTTATTTATTTGTTCATTTTTTTTTTTTTGTTACAGTTGTCATGTGGGAGTTATACATTTGTTTCCTATCGTGTAATGGAATGTGGAACATGTGTTTCAACGAGTCCAGCGGCGAGTATTGTTACCGGTGAAGAAGTTATTGATCCGAAGCAACATTTAACATTAAAGCTGAAAAAATTATTTCAAGATGTCGAAATACAATCCAAGTAAATATTCCCAAAAGTTAATCTCAGTTTTCAAAATGAAAAAAAAAAAAGAATTGCTGCTGGCCTTTTCTAATTTTTATTCTAATTAATTTCAAATTATTTACAGAGCTCACATGAAGGAAAAATTCTTGGCAGATTTACGAAAAGCTCGCGACACTCTGACTGGTGAAGAGCTTTCGAAAGCTTTGAACAATATGCGAAAGCGTTTAGACGATCCCAATGTTCTTTCAGGAGAAGTTGTACTCAATGTTTTAATTTCTTTCCGTGAAATTCAGGTAATATTTTGTTTCAAAATTATTATTATTATTATATTCAATAAATTATTAAGATAATTTTTTAAAAATAATTATTAAATTTAATTATTTAGTCAATTATTCAATTAATTATTCAAATAATTATTCAATTAATTATTTAATTAATTATTCAAATAATTATTCAATTAATTGTTCAATTAAATATTAAATTAATTATTCGAATAAGTATTCAATTAATTGTTCAATTAACTATTAAATTAATTATTCAATTATTAATTGAATGAATTATTAATTATTAATTGTTCAATTAATTATTAAATTAATTATTGAATTAATTGTTCGATTATTATTAAACTAATTATTCAAATATTTATTCGATTAATTATTCAGTTAATTATTTGATTAATTATTCAGTTAATTATTTGATTAATTATTTAGTTAATTATTTGATTAATTACTCAGTGAATTATTTTATTTTGATATATTTATTTTTTTGTATATTGATTTTATTTTTTTTGTAATCTTTTGCTTTTAGGATTACGATGCAATGGTGCAGCTTGTCGACGATTTGAGAACAGTGCCGAATCATAAAAATTCAATAAACACTCCTGCTATTCGTTATTTGTACGCTTTCGCTTTGAATCGAAGGAATAAGGAAGGCGACAGAGAAAGAGCATTGAGAGTCATTGAGAAGGCTTTGGAGAAAAAAGAAAATCATGTTCCAGACATGCTTTGCTTATGCGGCAGGATATATAAAGATAAATTTGTCGAAAGTCGCCACTCTGATCACGATAGTTTAAATAATGCAATTCACTGGTACCGAAAGGGTTTCGAGGTATTTTTCATAAATCAATTTCAAGTTTATTTTATTTTTAATTTTAATTTGTTTTCAATTTATTATTCTTAAGATAAATTTTTATTTGTAAAATTTAGTATCAACAGTCTTACGAAACAAGAAAATCTAATTTAATTTTATTTCAAATTTTATTTTGTTAACAATTTTATTTTACTTTCAATTTTAATTTATATTTAATTTATTTTCAATTTTATTTTATTTCCAAATTTAATTTTAGTTTCAATTTTATTTTATTTACAATTTTATTTTATTTTAAATTTTAATTTATTTTTTAAGTTTAATTTTTTAATTTCAAATTCTTTTTCAAGCTATAATTTTTTATTTTAAAATTTATTTAGTATCGACGGGCTTAGAAAATAAAAAACATTTTTATTTTGTTTCTAATTTTATTCCATTTTAAATTTCAAATTTTTTCAATTTAATTTTAAATCTAATTTTTTATTAGGAACATAATTAAACTTTTTATTAAGCAAATTAAATATTAAATTAGTTTTACTTAAAATGTATAAACTAATAAAAACAAAAAACTCCCTTTTTATTTCATTCGCAGTTTTTAAATTTATTTTCGATTCAATTTAAATTCGAATTTTATTCTATTTTTCTTTCATTTAATTTTATTTTTAAAAGCTTTAATTGAAATTTATTTTTCATTTCAGGTCCAGCCGAATGAATATGCGGGAATAAATTTAGCCACATTGTTGGTGATAGCTGGGAATGAATTTTCGAAAAGTGAAGAGTTACAGCATATAGGAATGGTACTCAATAATCTTATCGGTAAAAAAGGCAGCCTCTCGAGTTTGAAGGATTATTGGGATGTTGCTACTTTTTTCGAGATAAGCGTCTTAGCCGAAGATTACACCAAAGCAATTCAAGCTTCAGAGTGTATGTTTAAATTAAAACCCCCTAACTGGTAAGATATCTTCTGAGTGCCTTTTATTGCAAAGACACACAAAAATGGTGATAATTATATTAAAATTACAAATTATTATTATTTTTTTTTAAGGTACCTGAAGTCGACAATAGGAAATATTTCTCTCATTGACAGATTTCGTAAAAAAAATGAGGAAACCGAAACAACACCCGAAGAACAAATATTCAGCTTTTGGATGGATTATTTTGTCGAAGCGACTAAAAGTGAAGTTGGAGACAGTATAAGATTTCCGGTAAATTGAAAAATTATTTTTATGGGCGAATTTTATTTTTGAACTAATTTTTGGTTTTACGAAATTTTTGAGATATTCTTGTTTATTTTCTTTTAATTTTAATTTTAATTTATTATTTTTTTAATTTTTATTTTGTTTCTTTAGTTTTTAATTAAGATTTATATTTATTTATTTTTTAATTTTTATTTTTCTCTATTTATTTTTTAATTTTAATTATTACTAAATTTTTCTAATTTAAAATTTTATTTATTTATTATGTATATCTCTAGATTTTTCAAATTAATTCGTTTTCTATTTTTCGAATTTATTATTTTCTGTATTTTTCGATTTCATTCCTTTCTGTATTTTTCGAAATTCTTTCTTTTCTGTATTATTCAATTTTTTTTTATTTTATTCGTTTTTATATTTTTCAAATTTATTCTTTTCTCTATATTCCTCAAAATTTTTTTCTATTCTTTTCAAATTCCTTTTTATAATTTTCGAATTTTTTTTCGTTTCTATATTTTTCAATTTTATTCGCTTTTATATTTTTCGAATTTATTATTTTCTGTGTTTTTTTATTTATTTCCTTTCGAATTTATTTCTACTCTATGTTATTCAAATTATTTTCTGTATTTTTCAAATTTATTTTTATACTTTTCGAATTTATTAATCACCGGATGTTTCGAATTCATTCGTTTCTATATTTTTCGAATTCATTCTTTTCAGTATTTTTCACATTCATTTTTATACTTTTCGAATTTATTCGTCAGCTATATTTTTTTTTTGAATTTATTCGTTTCTATATTTTTTGCTTTTATTCGTTTTTATATTTTTTAAATTTATTCTTTTCTATATTTTAAAAAAAAAATTTCTATTCTTTTCAAATTCTATTTTATAGATACTTTTCGAATTTTTTCGTTTCTATATTTTTCGAATTCATTCTTTTCAGTATTTTTCACATTCATTTTTATACTTTTCGAATTTATTCGTCAGCTATATTTTTTTTGAATTTATTCGTTTCTATATTTTTCAATTTTATTCGCTTTTATATTTTTCGAATTTATTATTTTCTATATTTTTAAAAAAAATTTTCTATTCTTTTCAAATTCTATTTTATAGATACTTTTCGAATTTTTTCGTTTCTATATTTTTCGAATTCTTTTTTATATTTTTCGAAAATTTTTTCTATTTGTTTTCAAATTCTTTTTAATAGTTTTCTAATTTATTCGTTTCTTTATATTTTGATTTTATTCATTTTTATATTTTTTAGTTTATTCCTTTCTATAATTTTTGATATTATTTGTTTTTCTATTTTTCGAATTTATTCCTTTCTATATATTTTTTCAATTTGAATTATTATTAATTTTTTTTAATTTAAATTCTTATTTTATTTCTTTTTTAAATTAACTAGCTCCTCCGACGGCCGCAAGCGGCCGTCTACGGTGCTAGTTTTTATATGTCCATTGTCCAAGTCCATTATTTCATTAATAATAATATTCAAATTTTTTCAGTTAATAATTTGCTTATTTATATTTGAAATGTTGACGTTTTTTTGACAATGCAAAATAAGATTTATTATGAGTACTTTCTCTTAACAAAAATAAAATTTATATATTCGCGCTCTTTTTAAATAACATACGACTGCAGCGCCACCTTCACATGTACAAAGAATTTTAAAAACACCCTTCTATTAAGATTTTACATTCTCATTGCCCATTCTTTACTTCGATACTTTTCGATACATTCGACCTTTCCACTCAATGTCTTTTTTAAAAAAGGAAATTTCTATTTATTTATTTTTTAATTTGAATTTCTATTTTTCTTTTTTCTTGTTCGTTTTGATCAGAGACCTGGTTTTGATTTAATTTTTTCTGAATTTGAATTCTGTGATTTTTTTCGCGCAGATTTTGGTTTTGGAGCCGACAAAAATTCTAATGCCAAGTTACGTGAACGTAAATCTTGGCGCCGAGGAGAAATCAATACAAATTTGGAATTTGTGTTTGGAAAGTATGAAGAATAATTGCAAGCAAGTTCACGATTGGCTTTTTACTGCAAACATGATTCGCAGCGTGAGTTTATACAAGCGAGATGAGAGATGTCTGTTTTTATATGTGCATCAAAACTCGGATGACTTCCAAATGTATTTTCCGTCGATTCAATGCAGACAACGGTTTTATAATCTTGTATTGGAAATGACGAGAGATCAGGAAGGCATGGTGACAGATTTGGACGCTTATATGACAGGCGAAGGAATGAAGGTTTGCATTTTTTTTTTGTTGGAAAAATTATAAGAGACAAACAATAATGAAAATTAATTTTATTCGTAATTTTATTATATTAACTGTGAATTTTTTTTTTCCCTCATAGTTTGAATATGAACTCGACGAGCAAAATAAGCGAATTATTTTGGGTAAAGGGACCTATGGAATTGTCTACGCGGCTCGTGATTTAAATACTCAGGTCAGAATTGCCGTGAAGGAAATTCGCGAGAGAAATTTAGGAGACGTACAACCGCTTCATGAGGAAATTAAATTACACAGTCAATTGAGGCACAGAAATATTGTTCAGTATCTAGGATCAGTGAGCGAGGAAGGATTTTTTAAAATATTTATGGAGCAAGTGCCCGGCGGTAATAAATTCAAAAGAGGATTTTTCTTTACTTTATTTTTACTATTTTTAATCTTTTTCTTTTATTTTTAATATTTTTAGTCATTTTTAATATTTTTGACTATTTTTAATCTTTTTTAATCTTTTTCAATCATTTTTAATACTTTTAATCAATTTTAATCATTTTAAAATTTCCAAATAATGAAAATAAAAAATTAAAAGAAATAAAAAGAAAATAAAAAAGAAAAATAATTAAAACAATTGATAAACAGTAAAACGAAAAATTGAATTTTCAGGAAGTTTGTCGGCACTGCTTCGCTCAAAATGGGGGCCTTTGAAGGAAAATGAATCAACAATTTCCTACTACACGAAACAAATTCTCGAGGGCTTGAAATATTTACACGATCAAAAAATTGTTCATCGAGATATAAAAGGTAAAAATGGAAAATATTTTTAAGACAGTAAATTTTTACTTTACCTAAGAATATTAAATCAAAAAGTACTTTTAGGAAAGTAAATTTTTACGGGACCTAAAAATATTGAATTAAAAAATATTTTTGGGACAGTAAATTTTTACGGGCCCTAAAAATATAAATTAAAATATATTTTTAAGAGTGTAAATTTTTACGGGACCTAAAAATATAAATTAAAATATATTTTTAAAAGTGTAAATTTTTACGGGACCTAAAAGTATTAAATTAAAAAATTATTTTTGGGACAGTAAATTTTTACGGCACCTAAAAATATAAATTAAAATATATTTTTAAGAGTGTAAATTTTTACGGGACCTGAAAATATAAATTAAAATATATTTTTAAGAGAGTAAATCTTGACTGTACCTAAAAATATAAAATTAAAAATTATTTTCGGAAGAGTGAATTTTCACTGGACCTAAAAATATTTCCTCTATTTAAAGAGAATATATAATTTGTCTATAATTAAATGAAAATTTTTTATTTTTAATTCAGGTGACAATGTGTTGGTCAACACTTACAGTGGAGTGGTGAAAATATCAGACTTTGGCATGTCGAAACGTTTGGCTGGCCTTTGTCCGAGTACCGAAACGTTTACAGGGACGTTGCAATATATGGCACCAGAAGTCATCGACAAGGGACAACGTGGTTACGGTGCACCGGTAATTTTTTATTCATTTTCTTTTAGAGACACTGTATTTTAAGTGTTTGGCATTTTTGAAATGTGACTTAATGCGTTGAATATTTTTTGTTTCATTTGGTATTAGGCTGATATTTGGTCCCTTGGATGTACAATTGTGGAAATGGCGACGGGAAAACCGCCTTTTATTGAACTTGGATCTCCTCAGGCTGCTGTTTTTAAGGTGATTATTATTTTTTATTTTTGAATTCATTATTTTCTGTATTTTTCGAAATTAATAATTTTTTGTATTTTTCTTTAAATTCTTTTCTAGATAATCTTCGAATTCGTTCTTTTCTATATTTTTAAAAATTTTTCTCTATATTATTCAAATTATTTTTTATACTCTGCGAATTTATTCGTTTTTTCATGTTCTTCAAATTATTTTTTGTATTTTTCAAATTTATTCTTTTCTATACTGAAAAAATTGTTTTTCTATATTATTCAAATTCTTTTTTATACTTTGCAAATTTATTCGTTTTTCTATTTTTTCATGTTTTTCAAATTATTTTTTGTATTTTTCAAATTTATTATTTTCTATATTTTAAAAAATTTTTCTCTATATTATTCAAATTTTTTTTCATATTCTTCGAATTTATTCGTCTTTCTATTTTTTCATAGTTTTCAAATTATTTTATATATTTTTTGAATTTATTCTTTTCTATATTTTTCAAATTTATTCGTCACCAGATTTTTCGAATTTTTCGTTTCTGTATTTTTTGAATTTATTATTTTCTACATTTTTCAAATTCTTTCTTATAGCTTTCGAATTTATTCGTCACTAGCTTTTTTTAATAAATTTGTTTATATATTTTTTGAATTTATCCTTTTCTATATTTTTCGATTTTATTCTTTTCTATATTTTTTTGATTTTATTCGTTTTTATAATTTTCGAATTTATTCTTTTCTGTCTTTTTCAAATTCTTTTCTATATTTTTCTAAATTTTTTTCTATTCTTTTCAAATTTTTTCAAATTATTTTTTATACTTTTCGAATTTATTTGTCTCTAGATTTTTCGAATTCATTATTTTCTATATATTTTCGTTTTTATTCTTTTATGTATTTTTCGAATTTTTTTTTCCTATATTTTTCAAATTCATTCGTTTCTTTTCTAGATTTTTTGAATTCATTACTTTCTATATTTCTCGAATTCATTTTCACTTCAACATTTTTCTAATTTATACTTTCAATTTACGTTTAAATTATATTTTTTTTTAAATTAAATTAATTAATTAATTAATTAATTTAATTTTAAAATTTTACATTTCAGGTTGGTTACTATAAAATTCATCCAGAAATACCGTCTGAATTATCGGAGAGAGCAAAAAGTTTTATTCTTCGTTGCTTCGAGCCAAATCCCGACGTGAGAGCAAATGCAGCTGAATTATTGGAGGATCCATTCTTGACTGAGTAAAATTTTTTATAAAATACTTTTAAATATTACTTATCAATTTTTATACTTTAGATAATCAATCAAATGTTTTTTTTTTATACTTTTCATTAATAATTTTTATCACTTTTCTTTTTTTTTATTTTATTGAATAGAAATTATTTACAATTATATATATCATTTATTATTATATACATTATTTATAATAATAAAAAAAATTTATAATAAAAAAATCTAGAAAAGAGTTAATTCGAAAAATACAGTAAAAAATTAATTTCTGTAGATATGGAAAATAATAAATTCGAAAAATATAGAAAAGAATGAATTCGAAAAAAATGGAAAAAAATAAAATCGAAAAATATAGAAAAGAATAAATTCGAAAAGTACCAAAAATGAATTTGAAATTAATAAATTGAAAAATTAAAGAGACTTTCTTCTTCTTTTAGAAAGAAAAAACCGTCCCGTTTGGCAGCTCCGCCTGATTTTAGTAGAAGTATATCCGTGCCTGCTGAAAGGTTGGAACGACTCGGTAAATGTGATAAGACTAATAACAATCACATTGTTCCGGCAGCGCCTATTCAGGCCTCTCAATCGGATGACAGGTAAATAAATAAATAATTATTTACTATGAGTTACATTACTCATTGATAATTTTTAAAAATTTAAATTTTTCTTATTTTTATTTCTACAATATTTGTGTGAATTTTTTTTATTTTTGCTGTATCGCAGTTTTGCATTCATCGCAAGCTTTCCATTTGGTTCACTAGGTACTTGTCGTTTGTTTTTATTATAATTAGCAGTGACGTATCAATTTATTTGCTTATTTTATTTTTTTTTAATTAATTAATTTCCCTTTCAAATTTTTGCCTTTTAGTACATTTTAATTATTATTAATTGAATTAATTATTACAATTTTTTTTTTCTATTTTTTTGTCACTTTCTTTTTCACTGAATTTAATTAAAACAGGTTTTATTCGTTTTTAATAATTGAAAAGATTACAATTTTAAATAAAATTAAGAAATTCGATTCTACTTTTGACTCTAATGTCCAAATTGTTTTCACCGATTCGTTATTTGTTTTTTTCTTTTGTTTTTTAATTTTCCTTGAATTTTTTTTCTGAATTTGTTTATTGAATTTTTTTCAATTTGTCTTTTTAAATTCTCACGAAAAATGAAAGTGTTTTATTAAAAACTTGTATTGTAGACTTATTAAATTTTGAACAAGCTTTTATTTTCAGTAAGGTGGAATACTAAATTGTTTTAATCTTGAAAAAAGTAATATGTAGAAGTAATCCACTGGATCGAAACTAATTACTAATATTAATTGATAATTATTTAGAATTGATTAATTTATTTTAGTTTAATTTAATTAATTGATTTAATTTAAGTAATTGATTAATTTATAAGTAATTAATTAATTTATTTTAGTCTAATTTAGACTGAATTAATATAAATAATAATAACAATAATTAATTAACAATTAACGAATAACTGATGTGAATACGAGAGAAATATCGAAGGACTTGCAAATCGAAGATATTATTTTTATTCAATGATTAATAGCAATAATTTGGTTTCCACGTTAAATTGGCTATAGTTTAAAAAATTTTTTTTAAATATTTTATTAACGGTAAAAGTGTCATGTGTAGCGGAGGAATATCAAAGTCGAGTCCATTGAGAGAGAGAAGTCCAGCCCACCTTCTATCCCCCATCCGCATGCCTACTACTACGTCTCTTTCATTTAACAGGTATAGTACTTATTCCCCAGTTGATTTGTGCAAAAAGAGAGTATATGTCGCCCTTAAATTCAAATTTATGTCTCTAATTAAAAAAAATATGCAATTTTACCAAAAATAGCAAAGTACTGTTAAATTTCGTGCTTCATTTATTTTTATTGTTCTTTTATTTAAAAATTATTTTAATAATTAAACATATTAATTTTTTTATTAATTTCCATTCAATTTGGATAATTTAAGCAATGAATTATCCAAATGAAATAATTAATTTTAAATGTTAAAGTATTAATAAAATTTGTAAAGTAAAAATTAAATCCGATGTAGTAGTAGATGATTATTTTGAAACAATTATTATTCAATAATATCCAAAAAAATAATTATTCAATAATTTTGAAACAATTATTTATTCAATAAGTTTTAAAAAATTATTATTCAATAATTTTAAAACAATTATTAATCAATAATTTTCAAATAATTATTTTATCCAATAATTAACTATAATAATCGTCGTATTATTCGATAATATTCAAAGAATTATTATTGCAATAATTATTCTACTTGACAAAAATCACTTATTTTTTTCTTTATATTACTCATCTGGCTAAATATATTAACAATTAAGTGAACATATTTTCCAAGTTCAATAGTGTTTTCCAAATTGAAAGCTTCAAAATTTTTTATTTTTCAAAGTGATTTTAATCAAATACGTTCGTTGTATTATTTTATTATTAAATTTTACCATTTCGTTTCATTATTTAGGTGACAATAATAATATTATTTATTTTTTAATTAAAAATTTCTAACAACAAAAATAACAAAAGTATTTTATTTGAAAATATTTAATTCTGGTTATTGATTAGAATAATTTATTTAGAATCATCGTTTAATTTCTTTGATAATTTATTGTAAAGCCAATCATTAATAGTTTATTTGCTTTTACAAATGCTTAGCTTATTTTTGTAAAAAAGAAAAAATTTTGCCACAAGTTTTGCTTGTAATAATAAAATAATAATTTAATGGCTTTTTTTGTGCTTCAATTTTTATAATATAGTGAGCAATTTTTTATATAAAAATAATTTTTCTTTATGAAAAGGAAATTTTTTTGATCCAAAAATTAATTTTTTTTATGAAAGTAAATTTTTTTTTATTAAACAAAATTTCTCTTTATAAAACGTAATTTTTCTTTGTTATAAGTAATTTTCCTGTATTAAAAGTAATTTTTCTGTATCAAAAATAATGTTTCCCTATTTAAAATAATTTTTCTTCATTAAAAATAATTTTTTTTATTAAAACTAATTTTTTGCGATTAAAACAAAACAAATTGAAAATTATTTATTTAATAATTTTTTTTTATAATAAAATAAAGTTATAATTTTCGTGTGAGTTTTAATTTTATTACAAAGAGTGCATTTTTGTTCAGCGTTGACACAGCAGATTAGATTTCACAATTATTTTTTCAAAATATTTAGTTTGCTAAGCACATTTATTCAAAATGTTATTCTCACAGTAATATAGGCAGTACACCGTCCATAGAAACAAGCGAAAGTGATACTTCAGGTGCTTCTATGACAAGAAGAAGTTCCTCGGGAGGATTGTTATCGCCAGAAGTTGAAATTAATGGTAATTAACAATTTTTTTTATTTCTTCTTCAATATTTATTTTACATTTAACTGGATTTTTTTTCTTCATTTTATACTTATTTATTCTTTACTTTATTTTTATTTATTTTTTGTTTCGTATTTATGATTTTTTCTATTTTATTTTTTATTTATTATTTTTTCTATTTTATTTTGTTATTTATTATCTATTATTTTATTATTATTATTTATCTATTTTTTAAAATTTTAATTAATTTAATTTTATTTATTTTGTAAAACGATTTTATTTTCCAAATTTTTAGGACAATTGGCACAAAAAGCTGGAGAGGAACAGGAGGGATTTTATTTATTGAAAAAGGACAGTCAACGAAGAATGACACTCACTCGCGTTTTGAGTCAAGATGAAAAGAAAATTTGTGAAGTTTGGATGAAGAGTATTCATCAAGACGTTGGCCAAACTGTTCTTCGGATGGTAATTAATTACTACGAATTTATTGAAAATATTTTTTTTTATTTTTTATATTAGTCACTGGACAGGCAAAATTCAATTTCTCAATTATTTTCTTCATTCTATGTAATTTTTTTAACTAAATTTACAAAATTCTATCTAACGCATTGAATATTGATTTATCACAATTGTTTTTTAATTAAATAATTAAATAATTCAATAATTAAAAATTGAATAATAAAAAATGAAACAATTTTAATTAATTAAAAATTACTCTCTAAATTTTATTCAGTGAAAAAAGGTTTACTAATTTAAATTAGTGAAAATTTTCACTATAACGACTTTTTACTAATTAAAACTTAGAGAGAAAATAATCAAAAATTAAATAATCATTGAACAATTTAATAATCGAAAAATAAAGTTTTAATTACGCAATTCAAAGATTTAACGATTTTTATGAAATAATTGGAAAATTAAATGATTTCAATGAAATAATTGAAAAATGAAATGATTTTTTTGAAATAATTAAAAAATTAAATAATTTCAATGAAATAATTGCAGACTTAAATAATTTCAATGAAATAATTGAAGACTTAAATAATTTCAATGAAATAATTGAAAAAATAAATAATTTCAGTGAAATAATTGAAAACTAAAATAATTGAAAAATTAAATGACTTTAATAAAATAATTAAAATATTAATTAAATTTAGTCAGAAATTATAAATTTTCGGTTGTATTTTGATTTTATGGAATAAAATTGCATTTTACATTGTTGCTCGAATTTACAGGGCCATTTGGAGTTACTAATGCGCAGCTTGAAGGATTACATCTCCGATCAGAATCAGGACGTAATAACGACAGCAATCCGTACTTTGAAGGAGGAATTGGATTTTGATTCGAACGCCATCAATCATTTACAGCTGGCCATTTACCTATTTCAAACTGCAGTGAATGAAGTCCTTCGAATGCACAGCATTAAGCCTCATTGGATGTTCGCTCTGGATAATCTAGTCAGAAATGCCGTTCAAGCCGCAATCACTGTTCTCTCACCTGGTAAATTGATTATTATACTTACCATTTAAAAAAAAATCTCTGAAAAAAGGGAAAAATTAATTTTATAAATTCATTCTTCTCCCCTCTCTTTGTGTAATTATTTTAGAAACTAAAAATTAAATTAGAAATCAAATTAGAAATTAAATTAAAAATTGAATTGAAAATGAAAATAAAATAAAAAAACAAAATTAAAAATTAATTTGGAAATCAAATTAGAAATTAAAATAAAAATTAAAATAGAAATAAAATTAAAAATTTTGAAATTAAATGAAAAATTAAATTGAAAATCAAGAAAAAATTAAAGCAAAGTGAAACCAAAAGAAAAGCAAAATTAAATCAAAATTAAACCAATATTGAACCGAATTTTTATTATAATCTGTAATTTTTGAAAATATTTCTAAAAAAAAAGAATTTTGTTCATTTGAATCTTTAGAACTTGTAGATAATGTTGAAACAGAAAAAACAAAAGTAATTAATGTAAAATAATTTTGAATTTCAATTTCAGAACTTGGTGCTAATTTAATGGGTCAGGAGAGAGTTCAAGCGTCTGGAGAAGGTCCTGAGGAGGGTTCCACTTCTGGAATATCGACAGTCAATTCAATAAAATCACAAAAGACAGTTGATTTAATTGAAAATAAATATTGGCGCGAATATCGTGAAGAAATGGGAAATTTAAAAGTCGAAAATATGAAACTCCTGCAAGAATTGATGGAGAGTCAAAAAATTTATCAAAATTTATTGCATCAAGCATTGGAGGAGCAGAGAAATCAAATTGGTATTTTAACGCAACTTTGCGAATCTATTAATAAAAAGAATTGCAGGCACGAGTCAGGGTAAGTTTGACAAAAAATAAAACGAAATTGTTGCAAAATTTGAATTTCAATTTAATTTAAATAATAATAAATAATTGTTGTACATAAAATTTATTTGTACTTATAAATAAATAAATTATATAAATAAATAAATTTCATAAAAAATAATAGATTTTAAATAATAAAATAATAAATAATAATTTATTAATAATAAAGTAATTCTCATAATTAGTCATTTCTTTCTGATTTATTAATTTTCAGAAATTAATTTATTTAAAATTAATAAAAATTTTAAATAAATTCAAAATTTACTAAATTTTTAGTAATACGAAAATTTTCGTTACATAGATAAATTTCTTGCAGATATTTTTCATCAAGTGCAGGAAATGAATCAACTTCTATAGTTTCATCACAACTACCTCAAATTAATATTACGGATATTAATGCTACAATGACCACTGACACCAAACTTGTAGATTGGTTGCATTCTATTGATTTAGACGAATTATCGATTGACAGAGTAATAATTAATTTTTTTTCATACGAAAAATTCACGTAAAGTTGAAAATTCACATTAAAGGAAAATAAATTTTTTTTATTTATTAATTATTTTTTAAACTTATTTTTATTGAATAATTGCTGAAAATAATATTTTTACGATTTATTTCAGTTTTTATATGAAGAATACACTTTCGATAACGTGAAATCAGATATAAAGAGGGATGATCTTCGTAAATTGAACTTGAGGTAAAAATTAATTAGTAAAACAATTTTTTTTAACTTATCATTTTTTACTTTTTTTTAATTTCATTTTCTTATTAATGACAAAAATTATTATAGAAAAAGTTAAACATAATTTTAAGAATTGGTGGAATAAAAAAATTTTTTACTACTGATAAAAATAAATAAAATATTTATAAAGTTTATAAAGAATAATTTCCCGAATTAAAAACTTTCAAGAATTGTTTAATTTCAAGTGATTTATTTTTCTGTTCACAGAGGAGGCGTAGAACTGAGGATATGGAAAGCAATATTACAACTGCGTGAACAAGACTAACATCTAATAAACATTAACAATCAAGACCGAATTTTACTAACATATATTTTGTAAAAAAAATTATATTTATTTCACCAACTCAAAAAAAAAAATTCAGTAAGTTTTGAAGAAAATTTTTTTCTACTTTGATCGCTTTTTTTTAATCCAACTCAAACATAAATATTAATTCTAGAATTTTTTGAAGAAACAAAAACAATAATAACAGTTCTTCTAATAATGAATATGAACATGCAAAAAAAAAAATTTCGTGGCGTTTCAACAATCAATTATATATACAAAAGAAACACTGAAAGTATTTTTTTACAAACGCACAACTCAGATAAATTTTTATTTTAAATAATAATTATTTTTGTACTCCAAAAATAATTCTAGTCTAACGCAGCTTTGAAATATTTACAAATTTATTGTAAATTGTATTTTTTTGCTGTTACGATTTTTGAGAGATCTCACACACGAATTTTTACAATTCGTCCAGTGCCTTATAATGAAAGTTGTAAAGAAAAAAAGAAAAGAAAAGAAATCGTCTGTTTAATGCTGTTTCATCTTTACTTAAATATTTTTGTACTATCATTGAACTTCCGATTATTTTAAGAAAATGGAATTTGCAACTGTTAAAATAGTAATAGTAATAATAATTATACAGTGTACATAAAAAAAAATTGTCTCTTATTATTGTTGTAAAAGAGACATTTTTTTCTTGTTAAAAAATGACCGAAATATTACAATGCCATGTTATTAATTTTGAAATTAATTGTATTAATTCTATTTAATGAATAGAAAAATTGAAAATTATTTTTTAAATATAAAATGCATAATAAATTTTGAATTTTATTTTTAATGAGTGAATTTATTGACAGTCTAATTATAATTTATTTTCTAATTCTGAATTTCTAGTTATAATTAATTTATTTTATAATTCGAATTTCTAATTATAATACATTTTTTTATAATTTCTAATTTCTTAATTTTAATTATAATTTTGAATTTCTAATCTATTGTTGAATTTTATTAAAATTGTATTGAAAATAATTGAATTCCTATGAGAAGAATTTTGTTATTTATACAAATAATTTAATTCTTGAGAAGATTTTTACTCTTTATAAAAAATAATTTAATTCTTGTGAAGATTTTTACTATTTATAAAAAATAATTGAATTGTTTCGAAGAATATAGTAAAAATTTAGAAAATAATTGAATTCTTCGAAAAAATTTTATTAAAAATTTAAAAAGATAATTGAATCCTTTCGTGAAATTTTATCAAAACTGTATTGAAAATAATTAAATTCTAGCAAAGAATTTTATCAAAAAATTTGAAAATAATTGAATTTCCTCCAAAAATTTTATTATTTATGAAAACAATTAAATTTTTGCTAAGAATTTAATTAAAATTGTTGAAAATTCTAATTAAATTTTTTTCAAGAATTTCTTTGAATTTTTTTTACAATATTGGAGTTTCTTTAATAATTTTAATTGAAAATTTTGTAAATAATTTATTTATTTTAAATATTTAAATATTTAAAATAATCGTGTTTGTTAATAAATTAATAATTGAAATTAAAAATTAAATAATTAATTAAATTATTATATTTTATTAAAATTTTTAGAAAATAAATAAATTCTTCTAAGAATTTTATTACAATTTTCTTAAATAAATAATTTAATTCATTTAAGGAATTTTATTGAAATCTTAAAAATATTTGAATTCAGTTGAAGAATAGAAACTATTTGAAAGCTTTGTCAATAATTAAATTCTTCCAAAAAATTACTTAAATTTTTTTAATATACCTAATCGATTTTGTTAATAATAAATAATTGTAATTAATAATTTTACTATTAAATTTTTTTAAAACGATTTAAAGAAAATTAAATTCTTTTAAACAATTTCATTCGAGTTTTTGGAAATAATTAAATTCTTTGGAAGAATTTATTAAAATTTTAGAAAATAATTGAATTGTTTTGAAAATTTTTATTAAAAATTAAAAAAAAATAATTCAATCCTTTCGTGAAATTTTATTAAAATTGTGTTGAAAATAATTGAATTCCTTAGAAGAATTTTATATTATTTATCAAAAAATAATTTAATTCTTGTGAAAAATTTTATTATTTATAAATATAATTGAATAGTTTCGAAAAATTTATAAAAATTTTAGAAAATAATTCAATTTTGTCGAAAAATTTAATTCAAAATTTAAAAAAATAATTAAATCTTTTCGTGAAATTTTATTTAAGGGAATTTGAACCATTATGACGTCACATATTTAGAACAAATGCTTTGGACACACTGTGACGTCATAATGGTTCAAATGCCCTTAAATTTTATTTGAAAATAGTTGAGTTTTTGCAAAAAATTTTACTTTTTATAAAAATAATTGAAATCTTTAAAAGATTATTATTTATGAAAATAATTGAATTCTTGCGAAGAATTTTATTAAATTAAAGAATTTTTGAAAATAATATGAGATAATAATTAATTATCTACTTAATAAGTGGATTTTTTAAATTTTGAATGTGAATTTATTCGAAAATTAAAGTTTATATTTGAAAATTAAAAATTTTGTAATTTAATCATGAATAATAATAAAAAATTGAACATAATACATTATTTTAATTTATTGAATAATAATAAATAAATTATTAATAAGTAAAGAAATGAATAAATTATATTATAATTTCGAATTTCTAATCATAAATTCTTTTCAAAAAATTTTTTTTTTCTTTGTTCTTCTCGATATTGATATCAAAGAGAAAGAAATTCATATTAATAATGAAAAAAAATTTTGAGTACAAAGTTACTTCCATGTCAGTTTTAAAATTGCGCAATGGAGGCAAATATTTTTTCAAGAATCAATAAAGATGATGTCAGAATTTTTCGTTAAAATTTCCATCTTTATACTTTAATATAACGAAAAGTTTTTGCCCCCTCCGTCCCCTCCCCCATCTACTCATCAGCAATTCGAGCAGAAACAAGGATCAGGGTGCTTTGGGTCGTATTTGTATAACTTAAGATTCTTGCTTCTTTTGCAAATGTAAATGGTAACCCGACGTCGTTATCCATTCGCATACATTAAAGGCATTGCGCCCCCTTTTTACGAATTCGCGATAGAATAAGATGCAACGAGGGATGCTGAAAGATCTGTCGGTAACAGACAGTTTACGATTGAATGGCTCTCTGTGATGTTTGAAAAGAGAAAAAAAAGAAAAAAAAAATCTTCCAATTGCCTCCGCTATATATACATCCACTGATTTTTCCGCAGACCCCTGTCAAACTGTCCAATATGTCCCGAAATTAAAAATGTTTTTTTTTCCTCTTTAGAGAAAACGAAGATTCCCATTATTTTCCTTCGATAGTGGTATTTTTAAATTTTCTAGGTATTTTTTAAGTTAGACTTAAATTTTAGTTTTTGAATTTGAAATGAAAATCAATTTTTTAATTTTATTTGTATTGTTAATTTTAATTCTAGTTATTAGTAATTATTAAATAAGTTCTTAATAATAATGTTATTAGCAAATTATTAAAATTTTATTTAAAACTTTTGTTAAAAAATAATTGAAACTTTTTTAAAGTTTTATTTTCAATACTAACTTTTTTAACATAAAATTTAATTAACATTGATAGTTATTTAAAGCCTCTTGATGAAAATTAAAGAAATCGATATTTTTTAAGCAGGGAAAGTAGAGAACTAAATGTATGGTCGAGCTGATTGGTCCAAATGTAAACTAGAAAATGGTATTATTATAATTAGCAAAATATTTGACATTATTGCTTATGAAAGTTTTTCAATAGAAGGAAAATGCAATAAAAAGTGAAATAATTATTTGAAAATCAAACATTTCCATTAGCCGAAATATGAAGAATGTTGAGAAACAACCAAATAACTCAATTAACATAATACTTATGAAACTCAGTGTACACCTATCACTTTAGACGCATATAATTCTATTGACACTATTATTCACATGCATGTCATATAATCTGACATTGATATAATTTATTCTGTCTCAAAATATTTTCAATTCTTATATTATCTTTACGATTTATATTTGGAATATTATGTCCAAAATCGAATACAAATTCGATTATAAATTAATAATAAACTACAAATAATTGAAAAATATTAAATAAATAATTAATAAATAATATTAAATTTTGAGCTACTTACAAATTTATTTGTTGGGTAGTGAAGGCCCTTGAAAGATTAAATATAACGACTACAAATAAATAAATAATAATAATAGTAACAATAATAGTAATGGATGATAACAACAGTAACAATAATAGTAGTAGATAATAAATAATAAAGAAAAAATAATAAATAATAATAATAATCTCCGAATTTGAATTACTAAAGATGTTTACTAATTTAAATTAGAGACTTACTGTTTGCTTTTGAATTAGTAAATTTTTCTAATATATAAGTAGAAATTACTATTTATTAATAAAATTTACTAAGTCAATAACAAACAGTCACTAATTCAAATTAGTAAACATTTTTACTAATTCAAATTTATGGAGTATATAATAGTAGCAACAATTATAATATTAAATAATAATAATAACAGCATGTCCAACCAATAAATAAATAAAAAACTGTAAATAAATAATAATTTATTTTATTTATTTTTTTTATACAAGGCGACGAAGAAAAAATTACACAGATTTGTTACACATTCCAAACAAAAAAGTTAGATGTTAGAGAATAAAATTAAAAATTGATATGAGATTATGTATCTTGTCATGTAGATACAACCATTATCTTGAATAAATAATAAAATCATAACAAACAAGGCTGGATTAAAATGAATCAAATTAGTATTAATATGTATTTAGACAGTTTTATTATTTAAGATAATTAATAATTCATAAGGGTTTATGTAATAGGAACTAACGATGAATTAGGCTTCTTGGGCAGTCCCTATATGAATCAGTGTAATGTGAAACTCTCAATAATATTTGAAGGTCTTGCTCCAGTTTCTTACTTAATTTTTCACATTTTTAAATCTTGCTCATTAGGAAAAAATATTTCGTGAAAATTGCGTCACTAATCTTCAATGAATTTTCTCTCCTATAAAATGTGAATTCGATTCTCTAAACGACATCAGTAGCAATCAGCAATTGAACGAATCAACATGGCATTCAAGGTATACTCTAGTGATCCAAATATTATAGTTTTTTAATAAAACTATTTTCTTAATTTTTTTTTGGTCCTTTTTGTATAAAATATATTTTTATTTATTTGTATTATATTTATATTTTATTTTTTGTTTAAATGTTTTTAAAAAATTAGCTTTTAGTAAAGATGGCTGAACAGTACATTGAATCTGTTTAGTGTTGAGCTAATGACTAAAATATATTTAGCGAATAAATAGTCAGCTATTTTTAACACAAAGTTTAATTGAGCGATTCAAAAGAATAATCCTGAAGCTAACAATGAAACGTTGAATTGCAGTTCGTAGTACTCTTGGCCTTCTTGGCGAGCGCCAACGCAGGCCTCATTGGCGCGCACTACTCGCCGTTGGCACTTCCGGTTCCGTTGGCGTACGCCAGCGCACCGGCGGCAGTCATCACCAAGACCGTGGACGCCGAGTACGACCCCCACCCTCAGTACAGCTACGCCTACGACGTGCAGGACTCGCTGACCGGCGACTCCAAGTCCCAGCACGAGACTCGCGACGGAGACGTCGTCAAGGGCAGCTACTCTCTCCTGGAGGCCGACGGCACCAGGCGGACCGTCGACTACACCGCCGACGACGTCAACGGATTCAACGCCGTCGTCAGGAAGGAGCCGGTCGTCTACTCGGCCCCAGTGGCTCAAGCCGTCCTCAAGACCGTCCTTCCCGCCGAGACGACCGTCTCCCAGTACTCCACCGGCTTCACGCACCACGCCTACGCTGTCCCCCAAGTCTACGCGAACGTCGCCCAATGGTGAACAATGTCAACTATGTCAACAATGTGATCCACAACTGATCTTTCGCCAATAAATTTATTCAATTCGCAAACTATTTCTTCCCTTTTTCTTTTCATTTAAAAATATTAATTCCTTCACCTTAAAGTTTGGGAAATGCTCAGTATTGCACCTCCTTTACAAAAGGAAAATTAAACCTCTGATTATTCTTGCAATATTTTATCAATTAAAAATTAAAACTGATAGCAAAATTCGTGAATTCTCTGTATATAAGTAGTAAAGGTCACTTTCAGTCAGTCATGACAATTTTTATCCTTACAGTTTACCATCAGTAGTAAGTGTATGCTGAGTCAGATATGATGAATTTATGAAACTTTCGTTTCAAGTAGTAAAAGAATATTTTAGTCAGACAAAAATGTTTCGAACTTCAAATTTTTTATTACAACAGTCAGTAGTAACAGTAAATTTTGGTCAGACATTAAACATTAATTTTAATGAAATTAAATAAAAGACGTCATTTTAATTGGTAGTCACTTCATCTGTATTAACAGTAAAAGTTAAATTCAGACATTATGAATCTGATATTTTTAGTTAAAGTAGTGCAAGTGTGTATTAGACAGACAAATCGTTTGTAACTTTTATTGTTGTAATATAAATTGTAGCGAGTAAGTACATGAATAGTAGTAAAAATGGTAGTGAATTTCAACAAGAATAGTAGACAATTAAATATTTGGTAAGAGACATTAATAAATTAAATATATTACGTCAGACGATTTAAATGCATGCAAATTTTAGTTTTAAATAGTAAGTGAATATTTTTTAGACAACTTTTTAATTTTTATTGAATTTGTAACAGTATCTAGTAATAGTAAATTTTAGTCAAACATTAGACATTAATTTTAATTAACTTCATTAAAGTTTATTCAATTTTTCTCATTGTAAGTAGTATTGTAGTTATAGTAAATTATATAGACATACGTGATTAATTTGTTAAAAGCAAATAGATAATTATTGTAATCTTTATTTTTATATATTTTCCTATTTATAAATTCTCATTCATATTATTTAGAAAAATAACTATAATTATTAGCAAAGAATATATCAGTAAATATTAGTAAAAAGCAGTATTAAAAAATAATTCTATAAAAATTGGAATGAAATTTCTTCAAAATTTGCAAGTCTGATAATTCATTTTTATTATTGATGAAATGCTAATTACAATTTAAACCCTTTTGTTCGACTTTTACTAGCGAATTCTAGTTAGAACTGAAATTTCAATGTTTTGGGTTTGGATAAGTTTTTGAGTGAATAAAATATTTGGTTACTACTTGAAACTATAAAACAATTAATTACTATTATTTTTACTACAATAACAGAAATTAAAAATAATTTTCTTATCTAATAAGTACTTCTTTTACTAAAATTAAGGTTTTTAAATTTATCACGACTGACTTTAACTTACTATTACTGTACTAACAATAGGACAACAATTAAATTAATTACGAAGTTATTAAATTAGAATTAGTGCGTAATGTCCGACTAAAATTTACTATTACTACTGATAAAGAGAGTACAATTAATTTATCTTGTAATTTTTCATTTGCAATTAGTCCATAATATCTGACAAAAATGTACTGTTACTACTAATATAAAGGTAGTAAACATTTAAAAGTTTAGAAATATGTTTGTCTGACTAAAATATCCTTTTACTACTTGAATCTAAATTTGCAAGAATTCATAATCTCTGACATTAAGTTATTATTACTACTCTTGCAACAACTAATAGTGTAAAGATATCTAGAAGTCTTGATTTTTACTACTTAAAATAATGTTACATAAATTTTTAATTAGACTAGACGTTTTTTGTACTACTATTTTTAACAATTATTTACAACTGTTTTACCAGAATAATATAAATTAAAAACCATTTGTCTTACTAAATTATTCCTTTACTGCTTCAAGGTCAATTTGCACGTGTTAAAAACGTCTGGCTATAATTTATTGTTACTACTGGGACAGAATTAGAGCTCAGGGCCAGTTTCACTAATACCAATTAAAACTGGCTTTAATCAATGATTAATTTTTAATTGAGGTTGGTGGAATTAGCCCTTAAAACTGCACGATGTCTGACTACTTGAGACGAAATTTTAAAGATATAAATTGTCGTGTCTGACTGAAAGTGACCTTTACTACTTATATGCAGAGATTTCACGAATTTCACTACCAGTTTTAATAATTAATTGATGAAAAATTTGCAAGAATAACCAGTGGTTTAATTTTCCTTTATCATAAAGAAGGTATAGAACTGAGGATATGTAAGGCAATCGTGTTTTAAACTTTAACAAGGAGTAATTAATATTTTTAAATGAAAAGAAGAAGAATGTAAACAGTTTGTGAATTGAATAAATTTATTGGCGAAAGATCAGTTGTGGATCACATTGTTGACGTTGTTCACCATTGGGCGACGTGAGCGTAGACTTGGGGGACAGCGTAGGCGTGATGCGTGAAGCCGGTGGAGTACTGGGAGACGGTCGTCTCGGCGGGAAGGACGGTCTTGAGGACGGCTTGAGCCACTGGGGCCGAGTAGACGACCGGCTCCTTCCTGACGACGGCGTTGAATCCGTTGACGTCGTCGGCGGTGTAGTCGACGGTCCGCCTGGTGCCGTCGGCCTCCAGGAGAGAGTAGCTGCCCTTGACGACGTCTCCGTCGCGAGTCTCGTGCTGGGACTTGGAGTCGCCGGTCAGCGAGTCCTGCACGTCGTAGGCGTAGCTGTACTGAGGGTGGGGGTCGTACTCGGCGTCCACGGTCTTGGTGATGACTGCCGCCGGTGCGCTGGCGTACGCCAACGGAACCGGAAGTGCCAACGGCGAGTAGTGCGCGCCAATGAGGCCTGCGTTGGCGCTCGCCAGGAAGGCCAAGAGTACTACGAACTGCAATTCAACGTTTCATTGTTAGCTTCAGGATTATTCTTCAATCGCACAATTAAACTTTTTGCTGAAAACAGCTGACTAATTATTCACTAAATATTTTTTAGTCATTAGCTCAACACTGTAAACCGATTCAATGTACTGTTCAGCCATCTTTACTAAAAGCTACTTTTTCAAAAACGTTTAAACAGAAAAAAAAATATAAATATAATACAAATAAATAAAAATATATTTATACAAAAAGGAACAAAGCATGTCCCGTTATGTTATTAAATAAATAAATAAATAAATAAAAAAAATTAAGAAAATAGTTTTATTAAAAAACTATAATATTTGAATCACTAGAGTATACCTTGAATGCCATGTTGATTCGTTCAATTGCTGATTGCTACTGATGTCGTTTAGAGAATCAAATTCACATTTTATAGGAGAGAAAATTCATTGAAGATTGGTGACGTAATTTTCACGAAATATTTTTTCCTAATGAGCAAGATTTAAAAATGTGAAAAATTAAGTAAGAAACTGGAGCAAGACCTTCAAATATTATTGAGAGTTTCACATTATACTGATTCATATAGGGACTGCCTAATTCCTCGTTAGTTCCTATTACATAAACCCTTATGAATTATTAATTATCTTAAATAATAAAACTGTCTAAATACATGTTAATACTAATTTGATTCATTTTAATTAAGCCATGTTTATTATTTTATTATATTTACCCAAAATATTGACAGTATCTACATAACAAGGTTCATATAATTTCAAATCAATTTTTAATTTTATTCTCTATAGTCCCTGACATTTTTGTATGTGAAACAAATTTATGGTGTAATTTTTTCTTCGTCGCCGTTAATAAAATAAAAATTTTAAAATAAGAACAATTGTTATTATTTATTATCTGTCGAGTTGTGATAATACTTGCAAATATAGTTTCAAGTAGTAAACGAATATTTTAGTCAGGCACACATTTTCGTAAACTAAAATCATTACTATCTTTATATTAGAAGTTTCAGTAAATTTTAGTAAAATATTATTGTTTATAATAAAATAAATGTTTATTTGAATCAAGTAATTTATATTTAAATAAATTAAATTCTATTTTCTTGAAATACTAAACTTATTTGTTTAAATACAAATAAAGTGCAGTCCAAATATTCTGTGTCAGTTGGTAGCAATTGGATACTTTCAAATTAACAGTAAAAAAGGTATTATTTTGAGGTTTCGTAAATTTTTTTTATTTTTACATAAAATACAAGACCATTCGCAAACTCTATATTTAAAATTTAAAGTAAATCTATTGTTTTTTTTATTCTCTATAGAAACAAACATTGTCAACACAAAACACATTTTCAAATAATTATAATTTTAACTCTTTGACAATTCACATATTTCCTATTATTTCTTATCAAACTATTTTTTTTTTTTGAAACTCTTGCAAATTTATATCAGATTTACCAATATTTTTGTTTATTCAGTAATTATCGATTAAAAGTAAAAATAAATATTTATGTTTTTTTGAAAGTATCAAAATGGTACAAAAATTTGAATCAAATTATGATTTGATTCAAATATTCTATATCAGTTTGTAGCAATTAGATACTTTTAAATTAACAGTAATCTATAAAGATATTTTGAGGTTTCGTTGATTTTTTTTATTTTTACATAAAGTACGAGGCCTTCGGAAATCAATATATATTCACAATTAAAAAAAATAAATCTATTGATTTTTTTAATCACTATGGAAACAAACATTGCCAACACAACACAACACTATTTTTTAATAATTAAAATTTTAACTCTTTTTGACAATTTACATATTTTTTTATCATTTCTTATCAGACTAATATTTTTTAAACTCTCAAAAGTTTACATCAGATTTACCAATATTTTTGTTTATTTTGTAATTATCGATTGAAAGTGAAAATAAATATTTCTGCTTTTTTTAAAGTACGAATTGGTACCAAAATTATGATCAGATTTCGGTTTAATCTGAATATTGTGATTGACAATTATTCACAAATAATATTCACTGAAAAACTTAAGCTTACACTACATAGTCCAAATATTGGCTTAAATTCTGATCATCAAACTAATTTTATCACCTGAAGAAAAATTACTTTTATTTTATGTTCAAAAATCAATCAATATATCTAATAATTTTTTTAACACTATGGTAACGAAAATTGTCAACACAATAAATTTTTATAAAAAGTTACAAATATATCTTTAAACATTTGTAAATTATACATTTTTATTACAATTTATAGACATTCTATTATCTTTACCTACTTATCTAGATGATATTTTCTAAGCACTTAAAATTTATTGTGGATTTATTTATTTCTGTATTGAAAATATATACCGGCATAATGGATGCGTGCATTCTGCTCCTACATTTTTTCCTATTTAACCTATTTTTTAATCCCAACTTCATTATTTATAAATTTGAATATTTCTTGTTTCACTTCCACAATACACAACATATGGAATTATGTATTTAAAAATGTACCGGATGAGAAATGACAAAATGGGGTTTGAATTTCTTTTTTAAGAATGCAGAAATTTTAAGAGAAAATTTTTTTGCTAAAATTTCAAAGAGGAATGCAAGAATAGAAAGAGTAAATCCAATAGAAAGTATGTAAAGCGAGATGAGCAATAGCTTTTCTTTTTCGATTTGTTCTGGTCGTGTAACAATGTGATGCTTTTCTTCTTCTTCAAATATTAATCCCTTCAGAATACCACCTTCTGTGACTCTTCTGATTGTTTCTTGAAATCGATCAGTGTACGGACTGTAAGGCCTTGATAGGAAAATGTAGTTAAATTTTAACACAGATTCTTTCAAAACTCTTCCCTTAAACTCTCCATTTAATTTTATGTAAAAATTGACATGTCTTTGCGCATTTTCAGTAATACAAGTTACATTTTGATAATCATTCAGATGTCGTAGACAATTAATTAATTTCCCTTTAATAGCTTTTTGTGAAAATTTACGAATATGAGGAATAGAACTTCTTGACATTATGCCAATTGCATCATCAAATGTGAATACTGGTGTCAAAGAAGTCGTAGCCAATTCTGCGAGTGTTTCTATTCTCGATGTTGAAATTTGTAACGAGACATCCAAGATAACTGAAAATATATATCCTGTGTACACAATGCAAGCAATTATCAGCGATCCAAACACTGTTCTTTCCGCTATGTTTACTGGTTCCTGAACAATTGACATTCCCATTACAATTTGACATAGGTTAAACGTTTGCCATGTATTTTCCTTGAATCTCATTTTAATAGCAGTGAGTTTGAGTAGGCAAATTATACCAATTGTTCCAATGAGCATGTACAGAAACTCTCGCGAAAAAACAATGATTTTCGAGGAACTTTCAATTTCTGGAATTATGGCTTTAAATTCAGCTTGTGTAGAAAGACTCAATTGCATTAAATGCTGATTTAATTCACCTATATATTTCAGTGGGTTTAACCATAATTCAGCTCCTTTTTTAATTAAAAGTTTTATTTGTAATTCTGTTGATGTAACATTCCCAATATTTTTAAGATATTTAGATTTAAAATTCATTCCTTGTTCTAAACATTTACCAAATCGTTCTAATGCTTTCAAATTTACATGTACATTACCTACTATGATATTTATGGGATATCCATGCAAATTCTGCAGTTTTTTAGGAAACCATAGACTCTTAGATGACACTGGACTAGCGGAGTTTTTCTTTGCAAAAGGATTTATCATATACAAATTAGGTCGTTTGTCTCTTTTTTTCTCCAATAACTCAGTTTGTTGTTCATCGCCTATCAAAATCGTAATGTCCAAAAAATCATTCTTCCACAAGAATTCCATAAATTGGTTATATTTCTCAAAATTGGACTCACCATCTATTACGAATAAAACTTTTGGCTGTGATGACTTTTTCGATAACTGTTTTATTAAAAACATTACACCAGTAATTTGATAAAATTTTTCCGAGTTCACCTTACTCATTTCTACAATAAACAATGTTGTCTTTTTCGGTCGTTCAAGTGACTTTAAGTAATTTCCATTTAGTTTGCTTCTTGTTTCATTGAGACTGATACTGAAGGATGGAAATTTCCTGTTTACTGCTCTCATGATAGAATTAATCGATTTTTCTGTGTTGCTAATTTCATCGTCGATAATAAACATTACCTGATGTAGTTTTGATTTTTTCCGTAGATACTTCACCAATCCTCTATAGTAATTACAAGTGGAAGATGATAAAAAAATTTCTATCCAAATAATAATGGCAATTGTCGCGTAACTAATTAGCTTCATTGTGGCTAATTTGATTACAAAAATTAAAAGAAAATTATAATCCGAGAGATGTATTGTATCACTGTTTATAAAAAAGCTACTTGTCTGTTGAACAGAAACTTTCTATTTAACGCGATTTTTCAAAAATTAAAGTATTTATAGGTACCAACTTTACAGTATTTTGTTTTTCTAGGGCACATGTAAGACGATAAGTAGCAATTTAGAATTGATTTTTTGTTTTAAATCGATATTTGATTCTATTTTAATACCTGAAATCAGCTCTTACTTCGCACTTTTTTGTACAGGGATAGGAAAATTATCAATGTTAAGGTTGTACTTGCAAATATTATCAAGACAATTTATCTTTTGTTACATACACCGCAATTTTTTATCGATTGAAAATTCTTGTCTCGATAAAAACCAGGTAAACTTATTCTTAAAAAAGGAAAAGAAATTATGTTTTTTTGGTATGATATAAATTTAATTTTTCTTTATTTTATTTTTTGATATTTATAAGTAAAATACGCGAGTAAAAGTCAGACTATAGAATTTAATAACTTGTAAGTTAATTTGATTGTTGTATTATTGTCAGTAGAAATAGTCAGTTAATTAAGTCAATTTATTGACCTTTTGCCAATAAATTTATTCAATTTCTAAACTATTTCTTCTCTTTTTCTTTTCATTCGAAAATATTAATTCCTCCTTGTTAAAGTTTGAGACACGATTGCCTTACATATCCTCAGTTCTATACCTTCTTTATGATAAAGAAATATTAATCCACTGGTTATGTTTGCAATTTTTTTAATCAACTAATTATTAAAACTGTTGGTGAAATTCGTGAAATCTCTGCATATAAGTAGTGAAGGTCACTTTCAGTCAGACACGATAATTTATATCTTTACAATTTACTATCAGTGGTAACAGTATGTAGAGTTTCGCTTCAAGTTGTAAATGAATATTTAAGTCAGACAAAAGTATTTTGAACTTTTCAATTTTCATTACAACAGTCAGTAGTAACAGTAAATTTTGGTCAGACATTAAACATTAATTTTTATGAAATTAAATAAAAGACATCATTTTAGATAATAGTCACTTTGTCACTAGTAATAGTAAGTTAATGTTAGACATTATGAATCTGAAAATTTTGATTCAAAGAAGTACAAGTATGCATTAGACGTAATGCATATTTTGAGAAATTTCTACCCCCCCCCCCCCGCTTACCCCATCGTAAAACATTTTCTATATATTAGAGCCACTTTTTCTGCTGTTCATAGGATTCAAGTTGACGCCCCCCTCACCCCTTACGTAGTTTGTGTATGGACCCTTACACACTTTCAAAAACGTAGTTTCAAGTAGTAAGAGAATAATTTACTCAGACAAAATGTTCCTTATTTTTATTATTGCAATAAAAGGAGTTCCAAATAGTGAAAAAAAAGTTGTTCTGAGGAAAATTGGGGTTATTAGCAAATTATGTAACATTATCTTTATAAAAAGTAGTAGTTAATTTTTCTGATATTATGTAATAATTGTTAAATCTCTAGTTTGACTTATACACGCGTATTCTACTTAGAAATGAAATTTCAATGTTTAAATTTTGCAAAAGTTTTGAGTAAATGAAATATTTTGTTACTACTTGAAACTATAAAATAATGAATTACTATTATTTTTTCTACAATAATAGAAATTAAAAATAATTTTCTTATCTAATAAGTACTTCTTTTACTAAAATTAAGGTTTTTAAATTTATCACGACTGACTTTAACTTACTATTACTATACTGGTAATAGAACAATTAAATTAATGACTAAGTTATTAAATTAGAATTACTGCGTAATGTCTGACTAAAATTTACTATTACTACTGATAAAGAGAGTACAATTAATTTATTTCTTAATTTTCCATTTGCAATTAGTCCATAATATCTGACAAAAATGTACTGTTACTACTAATATACAGGTAGTAATCATTTAAAAGTTTAGAAAAATGTTTGTCTGACTAAAATATCCTTTTACTACTTGAATCTAAATTTGCAAGAATTCATAATCTCTGACATTAAGTTATTATTACTACTCTTGCAACAACTAATAGTGTAAAGATATCTAGAAGTATTGATTTTTACTACTTAAAATAATGTTACATAAATTTTTAATTAGACTAGACGTTTTTTGTACTACTATTTTTAACAATTATTTACAACTGTTTTACCAGAATAATATAAATTAAAAACCATTTGTCTGACTAAATTATTCCTTTACTGCTTCAAGGTCAATTTGCACGTGTTAAAAACGTCTGGCTATAATTTATTGTTACTACTGGGACAGAATTAGAGCTCAGGGCCAGTTTCACCAATACCGATTAAAACTGGCTTTAATCAAAGATTAATTTTTAATTGAGGTTGGTGGATTTAGTCCTTAAACTAGCTTTTAATTAATTGAATAAAAAACTGCACGATGTCTGACTACTTGTGACGAAATTGTAAGGATAAAAATCGTCATGTCTGACTGAAAGTGACCTTTACTACTTATGTACAGAGATATCACGATTTTCACCATTAGTTTTAATTTTTAATTGATAAAAAACTTGCAAGAATAACCAGTGGATCAATTTTCCTTTTGCAAAGGAGGTGCAAAAGTCAGTATATAGAGAGCAATAATGTCCCAAATTTTATAAGGGTAGAGGAATTAATATTTTTAAATGAAAAGAAAAAGGGAAGAAATAGTTTGCGAATTGAATAAATTTATTGGCGAAAGATCAGTTGTGGATCACATTGTTGACATAGTTGACATTGTTCACCATTGGGCGACGTTCGCGTAGACTTGGGGGACAGCGTAGGCGTGGTGCGTGAAGCCGGTGGAGTACTGGGAGACGGTCGTCTCGGCGGGAAGGACGGTCTTGAGGACGGCTTGAGCCACTGGGGCCGAGTAGACGACCGGCTCCTTCCTGACGACGGCGTTGAATCCGTTGACGTCGTCGGCGGTGTAGTCGACGGTCCGCCTGGTGCCGTCGGCCTCCAGGAGAGAGTAGCTGCCCTTGACGACGTCTCCGTCGCGAGTCTCGTGCTGGGACTTGGAGTCGCCGGTCAGCGAGTCCTGCACGTCGTAGGCGTAGCTGTACTGAGGGTGGGGGTCGTACTCGGCGTCCACGGTCTTGGTGATGACTGCCGCCGGTGCGCTGGCGTACGCCAACGGAACCGGAAGTGCCAACGGCGAGTAGTGCGCGCCAATGAGGCCTGCGTTGGCGCTCGCCAGGAAGGCCAAGAGTACTACGAACTGCAATTCAACGTTTCATTGTTAGCTTCAGGATTATTCTTCAATCGCACAATTAATCTTTGTGTTAAAAAAAGTTAACTTATAAAACTGTAAATATAGTAAATATTAGTAAACTGTAAATATTGTAAATAAATACAATTTGTAAAAGTATCAATATTATCAATAATTGAAGATGTTACAAACAATTACAAATAATTGAAAATTTACAAATAATTCAAATATTTATGAATATTATTATCAAGTGTGAATAATGTACGTTATTATTATCAATTATGTAAATATTCAACAATTTAATTGATTAAATATAAATCATTTCTGATAAATGATAGAAATAAAAAATAATAGAAGTAGAATTAATAATAGAAATAATAAAAAAATACCAGTAATAAAATAGTTAATTAGATTAGAAATTAGATGATTATAAATTAATATAAATAATTTCTGAACAGTAATAGTTTACCAAACTTCATATGATTTATATAATAAAAAAAAAAATTAGTTTAGATAAAATTTGGTTTTCCCAGTTTGTACCTTGAATGCCATGGTATCGATTGTAGGAGTTGCGGGTTGCAATTGATGCTGTTTCAAGATTTCGATTCGGTATTTATAGGAAAATTGTGAGGTCATTTAGTATATGTGTGAATTGAGTGGGAAAAAGGTATTTACTATTTTGAAAAATGCGTGCCTGTGAAATATGGTAAAAGTGGGCAAGAAACTAGATCATTTCCTTAGGCTATATTTCAAGTAATCAATATGTTATTTAATTATTACACGTGTTTTTTTGACAAGGTCGTGACATTGCTATACATAAAAATAAAGAAATTCGATTAGTTAAATTGATTTCATCAGAGGACAAAAATTTTTGTATAAAATTATATATTTTGACAGCTACTTAACAAATGGGTTTATGGCAGTCTTTAATTTATACTATTTATTTTATTGTATTTTATATTTTTTAATACTTTTTTCTTTATAGTATTCTGTATTTTATAGTATTCTATAATTAATAGTATTTTATACTTTATAGTATTTTATAATTTTTAGTATTCTTTGGTTAATAGTATTTCATATTTTATAGTATTTTATAATTTATAGTATTCTATACTTTATAGTATTTTATACGTTCTAGTACTTTACAATTTTTTGTATTTTATACTTTATAGTATTTTATACTTTGTAGTATTTTACACTTATAGTATATTTTATACTTTATAGTATTTTACAGTATATCTTATTTTATATTTTATAGTATGTTACAATACTTTTTTTATAATATTAAAATTAATATTAATATTCTCAAGCATTTTTGATTTTATTGATAATCTAGTTGATTACGTTATTTTTCTTCTGCTTGTTCAATTTTTCTTAAAACTTTCTTTTAATAAAATTACTTTTTGGAAAGCGTGAATAGAAAAATAAAAGAGAATAAATAAAAACCTATTTGTTTATCGTAAACTTTTTGGGATAATTAATTATTATTAAATTTTCCTTTCTCTCCTTAGGGCTGTGAGGAATATAAGGAGATTCGAAGAATTGGAAGTCACTTTATGTTTACATTTAGAGATGAGAAAAAGGGTTGTCTTCCCTAATCAGAGATCAGATCCCTAACAACTTCTCTTTCAGTCTAAGCTTCTAATTAACTACCTGAATCTTTCAGTAAATCTAAAGAGAGATTTTCCTTTTGATTAGGTTTCCTTTATGCCGAGTCAAATAAGTGAAATAATCATTAAACGCTGACAATTTTCAGAAAAGTATAAATTTGTCTTTTTTAAACAAAAAAATAAAATAAAGGTCTCGACGAAAGTATAATAAAGAAACGAAAGTAATTTCTTCCTTAATGAAAAACGAAAATATAGTTTTGCTCGTAAGAAACGAAAAATATATTTTTCCTTAAAGAAAGCAAATAAGTATATTTTTGAAAACGAAAATGTATTTTTTATTTTTTAAGAAAACATCTAGTTTTGGGGATTTATTTTCAAAAATCAAAAATTGGATTTGTTTCGGTTGCCTCAATATTTAAATCTAGTTTTTTTATTGTAATTTATATTTTGGAAAGTGGTATGTAATTTTGCTTTCTGTTTTACGATGCAAAGAGAATACAAAATTGTCATAAGGAAGAGCAAGAATTAATAAAAAAAAAATTGATGATATTTATTTCTAATGAGAAAAATAAAAAAATGTTGATCGTTATAAAGCTTTGGTAACAAGATAGGAAACTGTCTAATTTAGGTTCATCCCTTCCTTCTAATTTCCTGTCTGCATAAACCATGGAACCCTTCGACGATATCAAGTCGTTTCCACTCACCCTTTATCTCATAACATATAGCAGAGAACAAAGCTTTGCAGATGTTCTGATAATAATAAATATATTCATCAAATGTAAATATCCAAAATTCTTTCCTATTATTAATTAATTTATATCCCCACAATCATTGCACTACTATAATTTTTTACATTCCTTATAATTTTTTACAATATTGCAATTTTCGACACTACTAAAATTTTTTTCCAACTATTTACAAATTTTTTTACACTATACTTACAATTCTTTTTTACACTGCTTTTGCAATTTTTATTTACTAGTGCAATTAAAATTGATTATTTTTCTCATAAAATTCATTTCACCTTTGCTTCATTATTTTCGAAAATTTCCTAAGCAAATATGTGTTTGTGTGTGTGTGTCGATAATTTTCCTAAGTGAACTTGAAAGTTGTACGCGCGAGAGAAGTTGCAAAACACAATTCAGATTTAATGGAATTTGTGTTTGATATTGGTCGGTAATACAATCATCTCCAATATTGTAGACTCTAGCACTCTCAATTTCGAGGAATCAATGTTCAAACAAACTAATAGCAAACAAACAAATCGTTAATGAATTAGTTATACATTGGGCAAGCATTGTCGATACTTTTCTAAGCGCTTAAAGTGTTTATCTTTTAAATCACTATTTTGAATTTAAAAATAATTGAAAATAGACTTGAATTATTAATTTCTTTAATTAATTTTTTGACAATAAATTTTTATTTATTTATATTATTATTATTTTAAAAATTATCAATTTTTTATTTATGAATAATATTTATTATTATTTATTTATTAATAATATTCATTATTATTTATTTATCAATAAATAATGATAAATTCAATTACTTTCAGTATTTTTATATTTCTTGATTGAATCAAATTATTTTCAAAAATTGTAATAAAATTCAATAATCAAATGTTGAATTTAAATTATTAACCAACACAATTATTTTAAAATCTTTAAAGAAATTCTTCATAAAATTCAAATGCTTTCAATATTTTCAATTATTATTATTGAAGAAACTTTATTATTTTAAAAAAATTTAAAGAAATTCTTGAAACGAATTTAGTTAGGATTTTCAAAAATTTCAATAAAATTCTTCGTAAGAATTGAATTATTTTTATGAATTAATAACATTTTTTAGGAGAAATCGATTACTTTTCTAAATAATAGAATTTTTTGCTAGAATTGAATTATTTTCAAAAATTTTGATTAAATTATTTAAAAAAGATAGTATAATTTTTTTCAGAATAATTAGAAATTTAATTATAAAATAAAAATTTTCAAAATTTATTATATAAATTTTGATTAAATTCTTTAAAGGATAGTATAATTTTTTCTTCCGAATAATTAGAAATTTAATTATGGCATAATATTTAATGCGACAAGAATCTTGAAATTCAAATCCAGTAAAAGCAAGGGCCCTTTGATCCTTGAATTGTTCTACGTTGAGGACCAGTCTAAGAGAATTAAGCATCAGTTCTCAAGTCCTTGTCGCTTCTGTGTAGTTAAATTATTATCCCTCCTCCTCCTGCCACCCACTTTATATCCAAAGGCGAAATCCCATAAAGCCGGGAATGTTTCGCTGATAATGCGATTTTATTCTTGCCATTGTCGTGAATCGTGTGAAAAAGAAAATTTCAAAGTTTAAAATGTGCGTCAAGTTAAAATCAAGGGAGAATATTCATTAGACGTGAAACTCGAAAATTCTCAAGAAAAATTAAATTTATTCTTCAATCTCAATAATCAGCGAATTCAAAGTTATTAATTATATTTATTTTGTTAATTATATTAATTATATTTAAAAATTTTTCATTATTATTTGTCTTTCATAAATCTCTTCTGGGTTTTTACGTTTTTTAGAATCCACACTTTTAATTACTTATTAATAATCTTTATAAATAAAAAAATTCTTCAAAATTAAATTATTTTCAAAAATTTTAATAAAATTCTTGTCAAAACTTTAATTATTTTCAATATCTATACTATTTTAATAAAATTACACAAAAGGATTCAATTATTTAAAAATAATTTTAATAAAATTGTACGCAAACAAATGTTTTTCATAAATAATAAAAATTTCACAGGAATTAACATATTTACAAAATTTTTTTAAGTTTTTTCTCAATAATTCAATTATTTTCAGAAATAATAAAGTTCATCGCAGAATTTCAATTATTTTTAATACAATTTTAATTAAATTCCTTGAAAAATGTAACTATTCTAAATTTTTTTTATTAAAATTCGTCAAAAGAATCCAATTATTTAAAAATTTCTTAATAAAATTCTTTATAACAATTAAATTTTAAGAAACATTCAATTATTAAAGAAATAATTTACTTTTGTATTTAAATAATTGAATTCTCGTAGAATTTTCTAATAAAAATTGATTTAAAAATGAATTTTAGTGAAAATTTTAGATAATAATTAAATATGAAAATAATTTCAAAAATGTTTGAATTTGAAATTTTTGAAAATCTTAATTTCTATGGAAAAATAATAATAATTAAATATTTAGACATTTAAAAAAGAAATTATTGTTTTCGAATAATTTTACAATTAAATATATTCGTAAATAAATTAAACAGAACATTTTTTTCAATAAAATTTTTTCCTTTATTTTCTAAAAATTCAAAAAATTTTATTTTTATTTTCAATTAAATTTTCTAATTGAAAAATATAATTTATAAACATTTATTTCCTGTATTTTTAAAAAACTTTGAATTTTATTAAAACAATTGAAATTAAGAAATAGAATTGATGAAAAATTATTTCCTTTTGAAAATTGAGAATTTTCTACAAAAATATTAAGAAACGGGAATATTTCATGTTTTTCTGCCCAAAAGAAAAAAATGAGTTTGTAAACAATATTGTTATTGAGAAATAAAAATTACTTATTAATAATTAATTATTATTCCTAATTAATAATAATAAAAATAATAAAAAGTAAAAATGCCTAATAAGAAATAATGCTATTAACAGTGACAATAAACTAAATAATTAATTAATAATAATTAATAATAATAAATTAATAATAATTTTTATATTTATTCTTTGTCAGAATTTCTATTATTATCATAATTAACTATAATTGATATAAAATTATATAAATTTAGGAGAAATTAAATAATTGCAGCAAACATTCAATAATTAGTTATTTTGATAAGATTACAGAAAATTATGGAAAATTTAATAAAAAGAGTATAAGAAAACCGAAGGAATTTTTTTAATATTACAGTAATATTTTATTATTA